CTCTCAGTGCTTCAACATCCACCCCTATGCTACTAAAGAAGACTACAGTCTGGGTATCATTTTATTGTGAACAATTAAAGAAGACTACAGTCTGAGTATCATTTTATTGTGAACAATTACAGTGAAAACAGTGTTCAGCACATCATAACTAAGAAAGTATATGATGTTGTTCAAAACAGGAAAGCTAAGAAACTGCAGTTTTACTGTGTACGAATACTACAAAATAAATTTCTGTTGTTACTAAAGTGTTATCTTAGAGTGGATTACACCATTTGAATCGTGAGCTGTACTTTCAGTCGACTGAAAATTGGCTGGTTCACTTGAAATGTGTCTCTTTGTTGTTTTATTATTCCAGTGTGGGCGCAGGATGACCTCTTAAAGCTGCTGGAGGCAATGAAAGTTGCTCTGCCACAGAAAGACCTGACTAAATACAAAACCTCAGAGTCCCACCTCGACTGGCAGAAGGTGGCTTTCAATTCCTATACAGCAGAGATGTGTAAGCAGAAGTGGCAGGAGGTCTCTAAAGAGGTGAGCCAGTTGTGGCGATGTTGTCTTGATTATTGTCTGTTCAAAGCCAGATCCTCTCATTTGTTGTAAATTTTGTTTTTCTGCCACAGATTCGTAAATTCAGGACCCTAACAGAACTGATATTTGACGCTCAAGACTACATAAAGAACCCCTACAAGGGCAAGAAAATAAAGGTGAGTTGAAACCACCGTTGAACATAATAACTGTACAACTAGCTGTGTGAGTGGAGCTCGAGGCTTAAGTCTTTCCACCCTTTTTTATTCCTTTACAATATACAGAAACATCCAGATTTCCCCAAGAAGCCTTTGACTCCATACTTCCGTTTCTTCATGGAGAAGAGGGCTAAGTACGCAAAGTTGCACCCCGAGATGAGCAACTTAGACCTCACTAAGATCCTCTCCAAGAAGTACAGGGAGCTGCCCGACAAAAAGAAGGTCAGCCACAACCAAAGACATGTCATCATGAAGCTATTTTGTGCGGTTTCAAAAATTCTAATAAAGTCATTGTTTTCTTTCCACGATCACAGAAAAAATATGTTGATGACTTCTTACGAGACAAGGAAACATTTGTGCAGAGCATGATGAAATTCAGGTGAGATTTTCTGATGCAGCTTGATTATGTATAAGTCTGGATCCCTCTAAACCCCAATCAGTTCAGAGTGATTCTTTTTTTTTTATTTTTCGCTTCTGTCACATTTTAATGCAATGTAAAGTTCTGCACCTCCCATTGAAACATTACAACGATGACTACAGGTAACCTGAAAATGTTTTTTGTGCAGTGTAGCAACGTCATAATGCTATATCACATAAAAATATACAAAACCGTTTATTTGATGATTTAATTTACAACTACATTCAATATGTGCAACCTTTTCCAAGTGCCCAAAGGTATTACCAATACTGGGAAAACACAGAGACTCTACTTAGTGTGGTTGTTTTGCTACTTACAATTTAAATTTGTTTTTCATACTTGTCTGCAGTTTAGTTCATTCTATTTTTGTCATGTGACATTTTGTTGCAGCTGAGTCACTTATGGGTTTATGGTTCTGTAGAGGAAAGCAGAATTTATGTAGTTTTTTTAAACAATATCCAGTTACTGCAAAATTACGTTTTTGCAAGCCATGTAGAATTTGGTGAGTTTGATGAACGTCATGATTTTAAGCTTAGATTTAGTTATATATCCAAAGGAATGACATTACAAAAATTAGCAGCTCAAAAACCCCACTGAAAGTGAAAAATGCAACCTTGTATTTGTTTTGTTGTGGTTCTGGATTTGATAAATGGTGTAATATCCATTTATTGACATGCTTTTTAATCCCGCCATCGGGTTTTTGAGGTTAAGAGGGTTGATTATGAAAAATAGTAATAAGTCTAGGTACATTAAACAATCACATGCAGCTTTACAAAAGATGGAAGTTGTGCTTAAATTTTTGTTTATGATGCATAAACAGGGAAGAGCATCCAGATCTTGTGGAGAGCATGACCAAGAAAGGCTCAAATGTACCAGAGAAGCCCAAAACACCCCAACAGTTGTGGTACAACCATGAAAAGAAAGCCTTCCTTAAGACACGTCCAGATGTAAGCCTCACCACATCCAGAATGTAGCCACTCTACCTATAGCTGTGTTATTCCAGGGATTTTAATTCACTTTGTCTGACCCCCAGGCGACCACCAAAGACATTAAGGACGGTCTTGGCAAACAGTGGACGCAGCTGTCTGACAAAAAGAGGCTCAAATGGATCACAAAGTCCCTGGAACAGCAGAAACAGTATGAGGTGAGACAACCGTGAAGGCAGTATGTTACGTACAACCTATAGAAGCGTGTTTATCAGTATTAACCATGTGTGTGTTTGCAATATTCTAGGAGACCATGCGGGAGTACATCCAGCAGCACCCAGAGTTAAACATGACCCAGGGGGATATTGTAAAGTCCACCCTGACCAAGGCAGAGAGGCACCTGAAAGACAAATCAGATGGCCGACCTGACAAACCTCCTCCGTGAGTCGCCACCAACAAATATTCCACTCACACAGCCGAATTATCCTGTTTGTAGGCAGCTGCTCTGTGAGTGACTTATTTAAACATAACATGTGTCGGTAAATGCTTTCAGAAACGGTTACTCGATGTTCTGCGCCGAGCTGATGTCGAGCATGAAGGACGTTCCCAGCACAGAGCGTATGGTGATGTGCAGCCAGCGGTGGAAGCTGCTGAAGCAGAACGAGAAGGACGGCTACCAGAAACGCTGCGAACAGGTGAGCTCAGAACCATCAAGTCACACAGTTTTAAAAATCAGGTTCTTCCATTTTGTCTAAAATGATTATATTTGCTTTTTCAGAGAAAGAAGGAGTATGAAATGGAGATGAACAGATTTCTCAGTGTAAGTCAGATTTTTTTGGTTTGTACTTATTGTGTTTATTGTTTACATGTGATAGCCACAACTTTGTCCATTTGTATGTTACTGTAAGAGTTTCTTATGCATTTCTTTTTTTGCTTTGCTGCAGAGCTTATCAGAGGAGGAGCAGCAGCGAGTGTTGGGTGAGGAGAAGATAGGTTTTAAGAAAGGCAGTGGAGCCAACAGTCCTGCCTCCAAAAAGAAAAACGCCAAAGCAAAGGTAAGGCCAAGTCCAGCCCATTTTCTTTGTGTTCCTAACTTTATCAAGTAAAATTGGACTATTACAAGTGTTATGTTCAGGTCCCGTTTTCCACTCATTAGATTTTTTCATCTAATGTACCAGCTATAATATCTGCCTTGATGGCTTTTGTATGTTTTCCTGATTTTTGTGTTTTTCATCTGGACTCTGTAGACCAATCCAGAGAAGCCTAAAAGGCCCATTTCAGCCATGTTCATATTCTCTGAAGAGAAACGCCCCAAATTGCAGCAGGAGAGGCCAGACCTGTCCGACAGCGACGTCACAAGACTCCTGGCTCGCATGTGGAATGAGCTGCCAGATAAGAAGAAGGTAACATGTTGAATAATTACATATAGCACTAGTTCTCATCAAAACCCCCAAAATCTTCCCTGAGAAAGTTCTAGGTGACAGTGTGGAGAAAAAAACTTGATTTTAACACCTCTGGCAGAACCATCAACACCTGCTGTCAATAGCAAAATGCCAGAACAGTAGAGTGGATCATTGCAGCCAAGAAGTCTTAATATGTACAGTTTGTAATATTTTTTAAAATACATTTTCTCATGTTCTGCTTGTCTTTGTGATTCAGGAGAAGTATAAACGTTTAGAAACGGTCCTGAAAGCAGAGTCGGAGAAGAAGGAAAAGGAGGATCGTAGTCGTCTGCCAGACCCGCCCAAAACTGCACAGGACATCTGGCAGCAGAGCGTTATAGGAGACTACCTGGCCAGATTTAAGGTTTGCATGAATCCTCCAAATGTACCAGCTTTTGTAGTGAACAGAAAGTCAAGAATTCCTTTTTGTTGGACGTAATGTAAACCCCATGATCTTAAGTAAAGTCTTACATTTTTTAGGCCGAAAGTAGCTTATTCCACTCGTGAGAAAAGGCCTCAAAACTCCTTATTTCTGACTAAAGTTGTGTAACAGAAACCTCTAGCATTACTGAAACACTGGTAAGCCTAACTTGGAAACATAGCTTTCTTTGTATATCAATGAACATGGAAGCATGTGATTAGCATGTGAATAAATTCTCATCTAAGCGCTCACAGCTGATTTTACTTTCACAGTATGGTCATCATGTTTTGGCACATTTTATTATAAACTCCGTTTCTTTCAGCCTGTCATAAAAGCACAGAATGAAAGTAAATATGAACTATAAATAAGGCACAAAAGATGAAAAGGAAATGTATCTATGACTCTCATGCTGAAAATATTTATACAGGGTATTGAGAATCAGACAGCACGCAACAGTCTCACTGATATTAATAATGACTACAAATTTAAAAGAAAAAAATAAAGTGCTGTAAAATGGAGCTAAAATACCCATCAGTGTATTTAATGTGAGCCTGTGCTTTGCAGAATGACCGGCCAAAAGCACAGAAAGCAATGGAAGGGACCTGGAGCACCATGGAGAAGAAAGAGAAGATCATGTGGATCAAAAAGGCAGCAGAGGACCAGAAAAGATATGAGGTTTGAAGCAGTTTCCATTAAATCCACAACATCAGTATTCAGTGTTGGCAAGAGCTAACCGATAACCTGTGTGTCCTCCACAGAGGGACCTGTGTGAGATGCGCTCGCCTGCAGCTGCCATTGCCTCAGGGAAGAAGATGAAGTTTGAGGGTGAACCCAAGAAGCCACCATCGTAAGTTTGTGACTTCCAATTCATCCATGCTGCCTGTTTCAACCAGTCAAACCCTGACAGTTTTATTTTTCTTGTTTTTGACACTGTAGAAACGGATATCAGAAGTTCTCTCAGGAGATGCTGTCCAATGGAGAGCTGAATCACCTCCCCATGAAGGAGCGCATGGCTGAGATCGGCAGCCGCTGGCAGAGGTTGCCACTGAAGGAGAAAGATCGCTACAAGAAGATCGCAGAGGAGAAGCAGAGGCAGTACAAAGTCCTGCTGGAGCAGTGGCTAGCTGTAAGAAGTGCTTGTTGGATGTTTCAAGGGGGAAAGCCAAGATTTTTCTGACAGCTGTCAAAAATTCTTATCTAACGTGCACTTCTGTTGTTCCATAGAGCTTGTCTTCACAAGAGAGGAACACTTACAAAGAATATAATTCACAAGTAAGTCATTTTTTATTCCGTCACTGTGCTTTGACAAACTAGAAAATGAAATGTTTTCCTTCTTTAAAGCCCCTTTCAGATGTGCACTCCTCTGTTTATTTGACAGCAACTGAATGTGTTGGATAAATGTTTAAATAATCACCCTGTTTACTTTTACGTAAAGGTCACACGTCGTCGCATTTCTGCATCACTTTTGACAGAGTACAAATTTGAATTAAACGCAGATAGATCATCATCATCATAATCAATCAAGCTGTGTGAAGCGGTTTAGGGACGGCTTTTTCCACATTTCATTACCAACATTGGTCCAAAAACATCACAGATCATACAGTTTCACATCAGTTACAAACTGAAACTTCCATGAAATGTCAAAAGACAACAGCAGTAATGTCATTAATTACTTATAATTACACATGATCTCCTCCATAGAGACAGGAGACAGAAAAGTGTTTAAGTATGTTTCTCTGACATGTTTAAATGATTGTTTATTTCCCCCGATGTTTCAGAAAAGGAGAACTACAGCGAAACCAGGAGGCCCCAAGGCAAAGTCCAAGAAATCTGTAAGTGCTCAAAGAATGTCTAAACTTGTTAAATGTGAATATTTTCTGGTTTATTTCCTCCTACAGCACGGTAAACTGAATATCTTTGTGCTGTGGACAAAACGAGATCAACAGATTATTCAACAATGAAAATAATTGTTGGCTGTTGACCTTACCTGACCTTATCTCACTCCCCACAGGACACCGAGGAGGACGACGATGACGACGATGAGGACGAGGACGAAGACGAAGACGAGCAGGAGAAAGCATCCTCTGAGGCAGACTCGTCCAGTGAGGACGACGAGGAAGACGATGACGTGAGTGACTCCTCTCTTTGCTTTGAGATAATGAGAAGAAGCAGATGAAAACTGTAATTTCATCACGAGGCAGTGGCTGAAATCACAGCTGATCCCACAACTGATGAGTGGATAGAGATGATACATGAAATACATGTTATGGAAAGATTGTCATTCTCCTGCAAAGTTCCAAAAGAAATGTTTCTCTGGTTTCAGACTAAGTGGACCGAGCCCAATAAACATTTTAGGTCAGACTGTAGGTGATCTAATAGAGCAATAATTGAGTGACAATATGATACGATCTTTACTACTTGATTGCATCTCATAGCTCAACTCTTTATTCACTTTTCTTTATTATTATTTTTTATAATATTTAAGGTAAGAGCTTCCTATGTTTTAATAATTGAGCAAATGTTAAGAAAGGGAAAACCAGACTGTAAAGGGTTGTCTGAACCCTCCTGCAGCATTGCAGATGATGAATGCGTTTCCAAACTCAAAATATTTTGTTTTATTTTTTGTTTAAAGAAGGAGGGCGATGACGACGACGACGATGAAGATGACGACGAAGACGATGACGACGACGACGAGGCGGAAGACAAGGAGAACAAGTCGGAGGACAGCAGCAGCGAGTCGAACTCGCAGGGGACGTCGGACTCTGATTCAGACTGAGGCGGAGGCCGGCGTCGTCCCGAGACGAACTGAGCAGCGCTGAGCTGAGCCAAGAGTCAAGGGAGCTCTGCCACTGTGCCAACCCTGCTCTCCTCCCACCACCAGAGGGAGCCCTTGCATTGCCTCATCCATTTCACTCTTTGTGTTGCTGGTGATCTGTTCTCAAGGAGGGACCCTGCCCCGAACTCCAAAATCAGTTTAGCTCCCTCCCCGCTGTGCGACGGTCACATAAATGCCAAAAAAAAAAAAAACAACAAAAAAACAAACAGCATCCCACTGGTTTGGTGATGTCATGAACGTTTCTGCCGCTGGTTTCAATCTGGACTCACAGGTTCAATGGTTTCGGGTTAGAGTTTTAACGCGTAGGGTAAAGTGACTACCCTCCAGTGTTTGTTAGTTTTAGAGTTCTGGTTGTTAGTTACAGTCAGGTGGCAGGAGTTGTAAACAGGCTTCATTGAGCCAAAGAACATAGCCCGGTGGATCACTTTAGGGAGCGGGGGGATGTGCGGGGTACTGAAAAAATTGCACTCTTCAGAATGTTTCCTTTTAATTCCTTTTTTTTTTTCCAGAACATTGTTGTTGTTGTTGTTCTCTATTCTCAACTTATGATGTAGATTTTATAATTTGGTTCTTAAAGAGGTGGTATTTTTTTCAGGAAAAAAAAAAATCAAGCCATTATGAATGTCTTTGTTTTTGTTGCTGGAAAAGTTTTCAGATTTTGTTACTTACCCATGTTCTCATTTACCAAGAAGCTACAGTGCCTATAAAGTGTTCACCCCCCACTTGGACTGTTTTGTTATTTTACAAGACTGGCCTGAAGTAGATGTAATTAGGCCATTTGACACCAATCGGCGTAGAAGAAAGTGAATGTCGGTGTGTTTCAAAGTGCTGCAGGCTTTACGGCACAGAAGTAAACATGATGTTGATATCATCTTATAAAACTGTGAGGTTTTCTTACGCTGCGCTGAAAACGAATCGTTACAAATCCATCTAGATTAAGCACAAATATAACAAAACATTTGATTACATGTTATTTAGGTGCACAGGAACCTTTAAAGGATGGTAATTTACTGTCAGTTTTTTTCTGTGTCTTCACCTAAAAACGACTAACAAGCTGTTCGGGCTTCCAGATGCAGGTAGAAATAGGTCTGTAGTTTTATATTTGTACTTAATTTATTGCAAAGGTTGTTTTTACATTGTCCAAAAAAAAAAAAACCCACCCTCATTACATCTACTGCGTTTCTCATATTTTAGAACATGAACATCCAGTGGGGGTTGAACAGGCGCTGCAGGATCCATCGCTGCGTGTCCATCACTGAAAAGTTGTCGTCAATCCGCCAGTCTTAATCAGTTCTGTTTGACTCCGTTTATTCAGCAGCTCGTTCTGGCCTCACCGCGATGTGAACAGTGTGCGACCGGAGCGCTTTGTCATTGAAGGGATAACTCTCTGCATTTTGAGCTCGATGTGACTCTGTGTTTTTAAAAAAAAAAGAAAGAAAAAAGAAAAAAAAAACAAACATGTTATTTGTTTTACAATTTAAGTTACAGTTTATTTGCTTACAGGTTTGTGTTAATCCATCTGAAGCTGAATGGTTGCATTTATTCTTTTATTTTCAAGCTTGTCTTGAAATTTTTAAATGGTATTGACTGTAATCCAGTTGGGTTTTAGTCTGATGCTTATCCCAAAAAGAGTGTGCACTTAATGTAAATCTGTCCCTCTGTGTGAGTTAGTGTGCATGCATGCACAGACTGTATATGAGGGTGTGTGTGTGCGTGTGTGTTTCTTTGCTTTAATGTGTGCTGTTTTTGCTGTTTTGTTGCATTACCATGATGTGACTGCAGCGTGCATGTATGTGCCTGTGTGGGGACATCATACCAACACCATGAATGTAGATATTGTTTTTTTTTTTTTTCCTCCAAAGGTCTCTGCTGTCATGCATTGATTACCTGAAAATGGACTATTGACAAGACTTCCATGACTGTCATTTTTGGGTCAGACTGAGTATATGGCAACTGTTAATAATTTGTTAGGACTGATTTTGACCATTATGAATCTCATCACAGACTGAAACAAAAACCAGCGTGGACTATTTAAATACCTGGGGAGGGAAAAGGAAAGCGATTGCTCGTATAGACTGATGGGAGTTTGTAAAAGGGATCTGGGGGAACTGAGTTGCCAGTGGACTTGGGGTTAAAAAAAAAAAAAAAACTGTAATTTTTCTGTAAATACTGTTTTTTGTATTGAGTGCTTATTGTTTTTTTTTTGTTAGTACTTTAATTTGGCAAAAACCCTCATCTGTGATTTCCGAGGCCAGTGAGTCTTTCACTCACGGGGGAGAATTTTTGGTTAAATTCACCTGTTTTAGTTGTTTCTTCTCTCCCTTATGTTGGTTTATAGAGATATCTAAGACAGCAAAGCTTTACAAGTTTGTACTGCTGATCATTTGACAGAATTTGATGTTTTCTATAGCTGAGGGTGTTCTTATGTCCTTGTAGTTCAAGTATTTGGGCAAATAAAAAATGATCTTTAACAGGTAAAAGTGTGGCTTGTTTGTTTGTTTTTTTAAAAATAGGACACACTGGAGGCCTTTCCATCAAACTACAAAGAGGTCACATTGTGAGTCTGTAGTTTTTACTAGTAATCCCGTTTTCTTCCTCTCCCACATCATTTCCATGGTTCTACTCAACAACAGCTCAGTGTAATGTTCAAGTGTCCACATACTTTTGGTCATTTGATGCATTTTATTTGGAACTGATGACATCATTCAACCACTCAGGCTCAACTAAGGGATTGCGGATAAAGAGCGACGCGCTCGTGATCGTTTAATAATGTCTGAAGTGAAAAGTGAACACGAAGGCTGCCACTGAGGCCAGAAGCTGGATGTTCAAAGTAAAAGCGTCAAAAGCTTACGACAGAGAGAACTTGTCTTTCAGGAGCCACGTCGGCTTTTAATGGCGAAATAGAGATAGAACAAGGTGATGAAAAAGTTACGCAAGGATGGTTTTGGTAACTTTTTTTTGGAAAAGAACATCCTTTAAAGCAGCAAATAAAATCTTGAATCAATTCTTCAGTGACCATCCGAAAAGAAGTTATCAGGACTGGTAAGTGATTAAAAAAGCAAAAGCCAAAGTTAGTATTTATGAAGCATTTAAGGCTCATTTGAACTACTCTGTCTGCAGCTTAGTATTTCAATCTAAATAGCTGTAAGTACGCAAAAATTGCTACAAAAAAGACTTTCCTGCCCACAGCAATATTTGCACTGTGAAAGTTTTTTAATCGTATTTTATTGTAAACCTCCTTTTTATTATTAAAAAAAATAGTAGAGTATTTTTAATGCACGTGTGTGTGTATATATTGAAAATAATGTTTTTGTTATTTACCTTATGTCAGCTTAATGTAGGTCAAGTGAGTTTTGTGAAATGTAAACTGCTGCTGCAACATGGCACTTTCTCTAAATTATATTTGACGATTATATTATGTCAATTTCAAAATGTGTTGTAACGGTGTCAGCCTGACTAGACCAATAAAACTCTCTGCTTCAAACACAATGTAAAAAACAGGTAACTTAAAAACAACAACAACAAAAAACATAATTGCTTAAATATTTTTCTATTATTTTACAGATTTTCCCTGTTTTGTTCAACTACAGATAATAATTAGAAAAGAAAATAACATCAAAAACTTATATAAATAGCAATTTTTTCGACATTTTTTACGGTTTTTGCATGTCACAGTATGCCACAATATTTAAGCATATTTGAAACAAGTTTTCAGTCTTTCTCTTTCATATTTATTATTATTTATTTATTTGTTTATTTGTTTGCTTGTTTGTTTGTTTGTTTGTTTGTTTGTTTGTTTTCAGTGCACTTAACTGCACTCCACTTATTTCCCCAGCTGTCCGGTCATCCCGTGGAGCGCGGCTTTTATTTTCCGGCGCAAACCCGGAAGTGTGTTGTGTAGTTCGTATTTCTTCGCTCTCTGTTGCGTTTGGCCTCCTCGGTGTAAAGCGGCTTCCTCGTTCAACAAACCTGTCGACACCTGCGACAACAACGAGGATTTTCTTTTCACCTGCGACGTTAACGATGGCTGCGGCCGAGCACCGGGCTTTCTCTTAACGGTTCTTCCAGCGGCCCGGCTCGGTGATGTTTCCCCCCGCAGAGAAGCTGTCTGCTTCGGGCTGAGTTTTCGGCATGACCGGGTAAGACCAAACTGTTTTTTAGTGACATTAAAATTCAGCTAACCTCACTATGTTGTTTGTTTTAATGCCACAACTACGCATTATTTATCTGCAAGTAGCAGGAGTAGCAAAAACAAACACTGACAGGTAGCTTTAGCAAAGTGCTAATTAGGCTAACAAACTGTCATCACCTGCGTTTGTATGATGTTGACGTTAGCCAGCCGCTGGTGAGCTGCTTTAGATGCTCGTTTTATGTTTGAAATGTAGTTTTTCCTCACAGGGGTCATGATGTAACTAAAGACAATTTAGCCCAGCTAGCCACATCTTGTGTTACCGCCTGTTAGAGTGCAGGTGGACTGCGTTAATAATCTGCAATCAACTGCAGCCAGTACAAATAGGGACTGACTGTGCAGTAGAAATCAGTTAAAACTGGACTGTGGTTTGTCCAGATTAACGAAAACTGTCTAGAAAGACGTGTTGCAGTTGAATCTTATTTTAACTTTCATTCACCTCCACTGTATTGGAGGCATTTCAGAGTCAGACAAATGAAATCCAACTATCTAAATATCCAGATTCAGGAGATTGGAGGTCTCCTACTGTTTGTTTGTCTGCTGAAAAAAGAGGATCTATGAACGGCTCTGGTGTTGCTAATTCCTCTTGAGTTTGACCACATGGTTCAGCATAGTTTTATTTGGAAAAAATGTAAATCAGAAGAATGAAAAAAAAAAAAAAAGAAGTCAGCTGCTCTTGATGTGTAATTTGCACTCTGTCCCTGTAAGTTTGGATCCTGCTGATGTGTGACACTGGAGCTGTTCATTAAAGTCAAAGAAAAGACGGCGACAATCTACTACTGCAGCGTTTGAAAGCAGATATTTAAAGTTGTACACAGGGTGGCCATGCTGTAACTGAAGCAGATCCGGTTGGCTAATATTAATAATAGTAAATCTAACAACATGGTATCCAATGCTGTAAGTCATATGGCTAGTTTCAGGCGCGGTTGGGGTGACAGTTCTCGGGTTATATCTACGGTTTGGATCAGTTATTGTTGTTTAATGTAAAGCAAATACAGCTTAACACTTGATATGTGGCATCAACTAATAATTTATATGTTTTCTTGTCTTCAACAGGATGAAGATAGATCTGCAAAAAGTGTCAATACCGGTTTCAAAAGTATGTTTTTTGCAGTATCTCTCATCCTTTGAACCAGTGACCATTTTTTAATTGCAATTTAATTAATTTTTCCTTTTATTCATGTTTATCTGTTAGTCATTGTGTTTTATGGGCTGTTTTTTTTTTTAAATTGTGCTGCACCTTGGTTCAACATGTGCTTTATGAATAAACTTTGACTACATCTTGTATGTTGTAAATTCTCAGGTCAGCATCTTATTACCTTGCGATCAAGATTTCCAATACAGATTTTCAAATGAAAATGGAGGATATGCCCCTCTCAGGCCCAGACAACACCAAGCTGGAGGTGAGGCTGAGGATATCTATGAAACTTTGACGTTCTTCTATCTTTAGCTGTCATATCCACCGGGTTTTGTTCATCTAACATTGAGTTTGTATTTGGTGTCACGTTATATCCTTGATGTTGTAGGCCTTGGTCCATGACATCTACTCTGAGCTGGTGGAAGATGCCTGTTTGGGCCTGTGTTTTGAGGTGCATCGAGCTGTGAAACAGGGCTACTTCTTCTTGGATGAAACGGACCAAGAGAGCATGAAGGAGTTTGGTTGGTGTCATGGCTTCCAGTGTGTTTTGGTCTAATTGTCATGGTGTTTTTGCTTACGATGCATTCCTTTTTTGTTTTCGTTTGTTTTGCTCCTCCAGAAATTGTGGATCAGCCAGGAGTGGACATATTTGGGCAGGTGTACAATCAGTGGAAGAACAAAGAGTGCGAGTGTCCCAACTGTAAAAGATTGATAGCAGCTTCTCGCTTCGCGCCACATTTGGAGAAATGTCTCGGCATGGGACGCAACAGCAGTCGCATCGCTAACCGCAGGTCAGTCCGTGGAAGTCTTTAAGGACAGATTTTTTCTCTCAATCCAAAGATTTACATGAGCATCAGATCAGACTATTTAATTTGACTGTTTTCTTTTTTTTTTCTTTTTTTTTTTTTATCAGGCTAGCCAGCAATAACAACATGAGCAAATCAGAGAGTGATCAGGAGGACAACGATGACCTGAATGACAATGATTGGTCGTATGGAGCAGAAAAAAAAGGTGAGCGTTAAAAATCTATGTACTTATCCCTCTGAACCCCCAAATCTGCTGATAGGAGTGAAAGGCATGTTACTATTAGGTCACCAAAATGACACCATTCATCAGAGCCAGAAAATATAGAAGCAGAAAGATGACTGAATTTCCAACTTTCTGACAGTCCTTTAACTTTTGAAATGCCACTCCATCAGAAACCTAACCAAATCTAGTTGTAAATTTCTGATATTTTACCAAAATTACTTTATTTCTATTTAAAAGTAAACAGTTTGCACCAGATTTTATAAAAAATAAATACATTTAAAAAATTAAATGTCCGACTTTTTAGGATTCAGAGGATAAATTCATGCTATGCAGACAATTATTAAGGAAAGCTCCAGGTTGCTCTGAGATAATAAATATCTTCTGTCTTTTCCTGCAGCCAAAAAGAGAAAGTCCGATAAGGTATTTTCATTTGTTTTCTCATTTGCACACTGCATTAGAATTGTTGTTTTTTTGCATGTGTAAAATGAAGTGATTTTAATGTAAAAAACTTTTATTGTGCAGAATCAGAATTCCCCGAGAAGATCCAAATCTCTGAAACACAAAAATGGTGAGTCAATCAGCTGTTTAGTTCGTGGGTCAGTGAAGAGGTTTTGGTGTGGATTCAGTGTGGTCCCTGTATTACTTAGGCTTGAACTTCAGCCGTTTAAAAGCACAGTTGTTGTATGTTGTGTGAATTGTATTTTTGTCGTCATTATGATACGAGCATTCACTGGTTTGCCTTTCATTATTGGTGGCAGCTTTGAGGTAATTTAGAAAAGTGAGGAAAATATGAAAATGTTTTTGCAGAGTTTAGAAGAAAATACTTTTCAGAGAGCAGCAAGGGAAATTGAACTCTAATTTCTGTTATTTAAATTGATGTTATTGGTTCGATATTCACGTGCAATGTGGTCAATAAAAGCAAGTTTGAAAGAAAAAATGTATCTTTGTAGCTATTAAAGCAGAAAGACGGACACTCTGTCGCTATTATAATTCAATTTGTGTTTACGCATTGCAAGTCATATCATCATTGCAGTATTTATCAATGATATTGCAAATTCTCCTGATATTGCTCAGAGTTCTGTTCATGCAGTTTTATCAGCTGCAGGGAAGTAGAATATGGACCTAATGTGTAATAACAACCACAGTTAGACATAGACGGCGAAGCAGTGACAGCTTCTGTGATAGGATCATTTATGTTCTGTGAAGCTGCAAACTGGCTGTAACGTGATGATGACTTTAAATTTTTCTTTTGATTCACGTGTTTTATTGTCCTAATTTGAAGAGGTATAATCGGACTGAATAAAGAGGATCAACAGTTGTGTTTTTTTCCAGGTGAACTTGGGAGTAGCGTCAGTTCAGAGCCTTACAAGGTGACACATCCTCCTCTGTTCACATTGACTTGCAAAACCATGAAGTATCTGAAACTGTCTGCTATGCTCTTACATTTTGCAGTGCACAGTGTGTTTATGGTTCTTATTGTGTCTTTCATTTCAGTACAACTTTAATACCGGCATCAGTTATGAGACTTTAGGCCCTGATGAAGTCAGATCCCTTTTAACAACGGTGAGCGACTTTCATGAATCTGCCTGAGCATGAAGATCTCTCTGCAGGTTTTTAACCCTTGAAACACCAAGAAGTTTCTGGGTTTTAATTTGCTCCTGTCACATCTTTTACCAACTGTGGGCTCATGTTTCGCTGCAATATAAAGTCCTGCACCTCTGGATCTCTTTAGAAGAAGAAAGAACTCAAATGTCTTGTGCAGTATAATGAAATTAGAATGTCATACATCATAAAAACTGAAAAATATTTAAATTCTTTTATTATTTATTCATAAAAAAAAACCTAGAACCAACATGTACAAGTGCTCACAAGTGTTACAATATTGATATTATATTAGAAAATCTAGATGTTATACTACTTGTATTTTTTTTAGTCGCATGATGCCTCTGCAGATGCCTTTTAATTCTGCTGGCAGATTTTGCTGGTCAGAAGGTGAAGACTATTTTTATTCTCTTGTTTTAATTATACAAATGTTGATCAGTAATGTTTTTATTTCTACAGCAATGTGGGGTGATCTCAGAGCACACCAAGAAGATGTGTACCAGGTAAATGCTCAAGAAGATGAATTACCGATTCAACTTTTCCACTTTGAAAGAACAGTTAACTGCTTCTGTGTAGCTCACGTTTGCAGCGTAGTTTCAGGTAGTGTCATCGTGTGATTTATTCCAAATTCTGAAGTGAAATACAGAAACATGATCAGTTTCTGTATTTCTGAAAATGATCATGTCTGTTGGGACTAATGCATGGGTACACAAGTGGCAACTCAGATTTCATTCTGTCTTCTGGATTAGTGATTGACTTTTTTCTCCCACAAGAATCAAGCACCAAATTTTTACAAAGATCTCAATATTTACTCGCATATTTTACCACAAAGGACCCCGTCACTGACCAACCTCTAATATTTCCTAACTTTTAACAGCGTATTGGTCACTGACTGTGTCCCAGCAGTCCGTCCCACCTCTGTGTGATGGGCGCTGGGCGGGCCGTCAGTCAGGGATGTATAATGCCACCTTGTGTCCCACCAGGTCTCAGCGATGTCCCCAGCACACGGACGAACAGAGGAGGGCCGTCAGGGTGTTCCTCCTGGGGCCGTCCGCGTGAGTCTGCCCCGTCCTTATAACAAAAGTCATGTTAGTGTTGTGACCCTCATGGTGCAGGTGTCTGCCGATACAGCTCGCTGCTTTCTGGTCACGTTGCCTCGGCCAGAGGCAGCAGTGCTGCCACTCAGTGTTGTGAATACTCCTACAGGGGCTGGTTAAACAGGTGGTAAAGGAGACTTCTGGTTTATTTATTTCCCATTAGTGTGGCTTTCGCTGAAGAGATTGAGGAAGTGAAGAGGTTATGAACAATGTTTAGCGGGGCAGTAATCGTGAGCTTCCTTTAAAAAGACAAAAATGAGCTGATTTGCATATAAATTCTCATCACACTTTTGTTTACCGCCCCTTTCCAACATCATCTAGAAGAAAAGGCTCAGCTCTGCATACAGAAAGTTAAAGCTAATACAGTTAGAAAAATGTCCAGGCGGTTCATTTCTTTCAGTCAAACTCAATATTTGTAATCATTCATGTAAGCGCTCCTTTTGGGGAGCTCATGCTAACTGCCTCACAAAATGTTGTTTTCCTGAATCTCTGCAACGGAGTGCAAAGCTGCAGCGACATTTAAAGCCAAAGTAGTCACATTAATGGAAAATGCACCAGGTCTAAATAAACCAGCTATCCTTTACTAAGTACATACGCTGCAGTTGAAGGGACCCTGAGTATTCTGTGACCTTCTTTCACTGAAAAACATCACAATACCACAGGAGTTTTTTTCTGATCCTGTGAGAAACAGCTGTGGCAATCTGCATGTGACGTACAGGTTGCCTAGACCACAAAGCCCACACTGAATTTACAAGCTTTAGAAAATGTTTATTGGCATTAGTCATACTTGTACATTATTTTATAGTGGAATTCAGACGTACGATGTATAAAAACTTAACAGAATTCTGTCAGTAATTTTGTGATTAACCAGGCTTCTCATGGCTGTCATGGCTACAACTAATTATGCTGTTTATAATTGTTGGTACTCCAGTGTTGCTGCTGTGCACTTCTAGGAACCATTGAAAAAGAAAAATCTAACATCCTAATGCCTGTTTTTGGCTGCCAGAAATTTAGCTCTGATCATTAAAAAACAACATCCTTGTCTGGAAAGAGATCCATCTCATTAAAATCAAGTTTGTCTGCATTTGATAACCGTAAAGTTATGGCTTCGTATATTTTTATTGAATTAAAATACATAGAAATATTATTTTCTTAACTAATTCATATTTAGTTTTGTCTGCAAAAACTGTCAATTTTTCATTTTACCTGAACTGTCTAAAATCTATTTTAAATGTTACACTAAGTAAAGATAAGATGTGCAGCACATTTCCATGTTTGTAAAGCTGTAACTGGAGAACCCTTTTCAAGTTTGCAAGAAAAAAATTTTTAGTTGATTTAGTAACTGATTAAATGACTAATTCCACTCTGGAGATAATTAATGCTTCTTTTTTACAAGGTAATATTTTACTGTGCAACTCAAACAGCCGTTAAAAGTGTCTTAAGAACTGACTGAGAGAACAAGCTTTTGTTGAAAACTGTCAGATTGTGAGTTTAAAAAGCCACAGACTTCGACACTTGATAACTGATGTGCTGCAGCGTATAGATAGGAGACTCTGCACAATAGCTGCAAATCCACTGTGGTAATTTTGTGCCGTAGAGCTGATAAACATCTTACCGCCGTTTAACTGCGTCTGAGTAGCAGACTGGCATCAGACACGGACAGAAATCTGTATGTTTGTGTGGTTAAACTGTTGTGTTACTGTGTCTGGGTTTCCTGTAATAGGCCGGCGCTGCCTGACGCAGACGCTGTGGTGGAGAACGACGGCTTCGACATTCCAGATGGACAGACCTTAATGAGCCGCCTGCAGTGGGAAGACTCTCCTGATATCTCACCCACGGACTCTGCCTCATCTAAAGCCAGTAAGAACACAGACTTAAAATTACACGAACATGGGTTAGTGGTTAAAAGTAACCAGGAGCCAGCTGATTGTTTAGCTTTGATTGTTTTCATTGATTCAGTCTGAAATCATCGGAGCATCATTTGAACTTGTTCATCAGAAATTTAGTTTCAGAGCTTCGGATTTACTTAATTAGGGACTACAGGCAAACTACAGGAAGTAGTAAAAGTTTTCTTAAGTATTCTTACATCTTTATTTTCATTTAAATGATACATATCACACAGTAAAAACTGTCAAAGGAAAAGTTCTGCATTCAAATCTTTTTGCTTAAAAGTTAAAAATGAAAGGAGGATACTGAAACAACTGAGAAAATTAGGAATGTTAAACCCTAATGTTAATTAATTTGTTGAATTGTTCTACTTAAAAATGAACAAAAAAAAATCAAAGAGCAGTATCAGTCACAGCAGAAGCATGATTAAAATCTTAACGGTACCCATCATTCATGTACACTATGCTAGCAGCGTGACAAGATGCGGCCTTTTTGATCGGCAAGAGATGAAAAATGTTTGGTTAAAACCCTGTGATCCACATTCACAATTTTTTTTTTTTACCCATTTATCAAATCACACTGGAGAGGAGGGCAGGATGAAGGGTACACCTACGAATACATGTTGCATTGTACTTCTACAAGCAACAATGGAGCATACGTTCATACTCCTGCTCTCTAAGTGTCTGTACCAAATGACATCCCCAGACTGCCACAATATTCAAAGGGAATGTTTGGAGGAGCATTTCTTTCACCAACAGTTTACCAAGAGAGTGAGCTGTCAGCTGAGTCAGCCAGCTGATGGTATTTTAAACAATCGAGCATCTCAGCTAATAATAATTTATATTCTGAAATAGAAAGTGCTTCCTCGGCAGCAAATTAAAAATGGAGGAGTCATAAAATCATCAGGTTTTCAAATGAACGACAGCTTAAAGACAGCTAAAACTCAAGTCAGATCAGGAAAGGCTGTCTGATAAAAGTCTGTTTTATGTATGTCAGCTGGGCCTTTGGAACAGACCAGGGCATGGCCTCTGCTTGAGGATATCAAAGTGCATACCGCTACTAAAAGGTCAGATCTTAAGCTAGGAAAAACAAAACGTACATATTGCAGCAGTGATATGGTTTCGTCTCTTGGTTCTGGTTAAAAACCCGGCCACTGAGCTCTGCACAGTCTGGAGTCCATCCATAGAGTTTTGGTTCAGGCAGATTAAAAGGCTGCTGCAGTCGTGCAGGTGGGATAAGATCGGAGCTCTGTGTCTTTACAAGTGAAGGTCGAGTGTGTTCTTAAAAAAGTGATGAAAACATGCTCAAAACTCAGATTTCTGTCAAACCAGATGCTGAGATTCTTTCCAACAGGTTTGTTCGACTTGACAAAATGTGTCCAAAGCGCTCCCAGCTGTGTGTTTTCACAAGCGCGCCGGCAAAATACACTTCAGTGGACGCACAGCCTTGGAGCCATTTCTGGATGAAACTTAGAGGTAATAAATGAATGTCTGTCCCTCTCACAGGCACCAACCATGCAGATTCCCGCAGGCCCAAGAAGAAGAAGAGGCCGTCTCTTGGTTTGAACAGTGCAGGAGGTGGAGGAGGTGGAGGAGGAGTAGGAGGAGGAAGCTCAAGTCTGACTGGGGGCAGCAGCAGCTCTCAGAGTAATATCAGTCTGTCAACCAAAAAAAAGCGGCCCAAACTCTCCGCACCGTCTATTTCGAGCATCTACGATGAATTAAACTAGCACAGACCTGCTTGTCAGACCAGCTCTTGCCTCTTCTGTTCAGTCCCTTCTTTCAAACTGAGATTTACAGGTATGAGCAGGATGGGGATGAAACTTGACTTAGTAGTTCTTTAATCATTTAGCCTTGACATGGAAGGCGTCTACATTTGAAAGATGTCTTCTTCTGGCATTATGAACACAGTGTTTTAAGAATGGTGGTCAGTCACACAGTCCAGACGGAGTATCTGCAGGTACTTATCGACCCAGTTCCACCATAAACTGCTGCTTGAGTAAATATTAATCCTCTGAACCCCGAGCAGTTTTCTGGGGCTTTTGTTTTGTTTTTTATTTTGTTTGCTCCTGTGACATTTTTAGTCACCGTGGGCTCATTGATCACTACAATATAAAGTCTTTACAACCATGGCTAGAAAAAGAAAGGACTGAAAAATGTCTTTTGTGCAGTATAAAGTTATAATGCCCTCAGTCTTAAAGAATGAAAAAGCAAAAGTTGAATTTCGTTGATTATTTATTTTACAGTTTAAAAAGACAAACAAAAAAACCTTCAAATTAACATGTACAGCATTTTTTTTTTTTTTTTGAAGTACCCACAGGTTTTTACCAATGCTGGAGAAAACAGTGACTCTACGTACTGCAGGTATTTTACTACATTTTTAATTTGTTACCATGCTAGTCTCTTTCCTGCTCTGTGCAAACGCTGCCGGCAGTTCAGCTAAAAAGTCCCTGAATTTTTATCACAAGACTTGATCTCAGCTGAGTCAGTTCACGTTTGCACCAAGGAGCACAGAATCGTTTGTTTTCTACACAATCTGGTTACAGGACAGTTTATTTTTGCTGAGTTTTTGAAGTACATGTATAGAATAAAGGGATTTTGTTGATATATGATCATTTTAAGCTTATATTCAGTAACGGCATATCAGGAATCAATAGTTCAAGTTGAAAATCAAACAGATATTTCTTTTTTTTTTTTTCTTCACAATTTCGAGTAAATAGTGTAATTTTGGTGGTGACGACATGCCTTTCAAAGCCTCCAGCAGATTTTGGGGTTCAGAGGGTTAACACAGACCAGTATCTCCTCAATTTGAATGACTTGACGATGCATTCAGGTGACACTGGAGCTGGGTAAACCTTGCAACCAATAGTGGAGCTTCACCAAACTGTTGCAGATAGATAGATGATATATCCCCAATATTATTCGTATATTCTGTACTTCTTAGTGGAATTAATTGAAGTATGAAAAGTAGCCACAATGAGAATGGCTCTAAAATTAATTGGAAATGAGTTTTATTACAAAATAAAAATAAGTTTGGTCTAAATTGCATTTTACGATGGGCAGTAAAGCCTTTAACAAAATGCTAAGTTGAACCTACAAGGAAAATATTTGGATTTCTACCAAATCCCATGAAGCCCCGATACATCTAAACACTTATTTAAAGTGTAACTCTTTTAATTTTCTTTTTTTCACTCTGTAAAGTCTTGACTTTTCTTGTTAACTTATCCTGGATCCAGATAAGACGTCATGAAAACGGCTTTGATTGGCTTTCTGGAACCTTCAGGTACTCTGTCAGTGGTTTGGCTTTGTCACTCTTTTTAGACTGTGTTATCTTCAACTCAGTTGTGAGCAGACTTATGAACTGCGACTGCTTTCAGTTCGACACTTGACGCACGTGTACTGGAGTACTCATCAGTGGCTTTTTAATTCTAGCATTATATTGCACAGTTGTGTGTGTGTGTCTGTGTGTGTGTGCGCCTCTGTATGCTGACCTGCATTCAGTGTGAATGTGTTTCTGTGGTAAGATGATGTGCGTGTGTGTAATCATTTCTATTTTCACAAAACGATGCATCCTAGAATGTGACTTTTTTTGTGAAAGTATGTGTGCCATTTTAAATATTTAACTTTATTTGTTTACATCAACAAAATATTTAAGTTTCTATTTGTCACTGCCTATGTAGTGATGTGTGTATTATTTGTGTGTAAATGCAGATTTTGATATTTGATGAGCCAGTAGGGCTTTCGGGGCACATGTACAGTACGTGTGAAATAGAAAATGAATCATGAATCCATAGAAACTTTCTTTGTTCCTCCATATTTTTGCTGATTTTATGCTTATAGGTTACATCATAGATGTAGATCAGTGCTGCTTTTCTGTTTGTCACTTACTGTATTTAAAAGATGGACATAGCCAACGTGACATCACCTATTGGTTTATGGATGACCGTTTTGAAGCCTTGAATTTGGCATTTGATCGTCGCTTCGTGGTCTTTTGAAACCAGAATGGTCTAGCTGCACCTCCTCATCATTCTGCTATCGGGGAAAGACACCATTTCCACTCTGTTTGAATTTCTTTATACCAATAAAAACTGTCTCAGGTGCTGGTAAGCCCAAGATGCAGTGATGGTGCCCCTGCCAAATAGTGATGGGGGAATATTTTTGTGTTAAATTGGCATGTACAGAGGCGAACGCTGTCATTAAAATGGCTTATTCACTTAAAAACTCAAGCAGAGTTTCCTTATTGCACAATCCAACTCTCCTTCAGTGTGTGGGTTGTTGCTCAGAGTTTGTTGTTGTTTTCCCACAGTGAAGGGGATTTTGAAAACAGTCACACCTCATGAACTGTGATTGAGGTTGCAGACTTGTACCTGAAGTCTACATCTGATGAGTCAGACTCATGATAAGGCAGTCTGTTCCTAAAACATACTCTGCTTTGTTGTCTGTTTCACTCCAGATGGGACTATTCTTGAAAAACTGCAGTCATATTGTTTTGAAGGAGACTTGAAGCAAGTTGCTTCTATACAGTCTGACTTCTTTTTGCAACCAGAGTCACCCCCTACTGGCTGTTAGAAAGAATGCAGGTTTAAGGCACTTCAGCGTTAAGACCTCGAGGCTACGTCCAACTTTTATGTACAGTCTGCACGATGTCTGATGTAAATTGTAAGTTGTGTTTTTTGCAGTTAATGTTTGTTTTTCATATAAATTGGCTTCACAAACCCAAAGATTTTACTGATTGAGTTGTTATTGTGGAGTCAGAAATGCATAGGATTTGATGGGCTGTAGTCTCCAAGACGACCGGTCGATTGGTTGGTCGGTGTGCTCTCGTCAGACCAAACTGTCATTGGTTGGACAATCCCCTGTGTTACTTTAATGTGGAATGCATTCCAGGATTAACCCATTATATTTGGTTTTCACAACTTTGAAGTGACCCAGCCTAATGGAAATTTTACTGAAATGTTAGTGATTCGGCTTAAAACGAACTAATAGCATGTTTTAAAAAAAACTCTTCACTTTGGCTGCATTTTGTTTAAACAGGCAACAAGTCAAGTAAAATATAGTTTGTGTATCACAGCTCAAGATGGCGGATTGTCTGTAAACAGCAGCTAACTAGGTTTATTTTCAGAAATTATGCAAATATAAGCAGGTGTCTCTTATCATTTGAGTATAAAATACAACTTTTTGTTGTTTATTACTTAATTTGTTGAAGCTAATTAGGCTAACCCCAGTCTCTGAGGCCGACCAGTTGATCAGGTGAAAAGTATAATTTAAAAAGACCGAGCTTGTCTTTGGTTGACTACAGCTCTAATATTTAATGTGTTTGCACCAGCACTACGCTGTACAAGATGGGGATTGTACAAAAATTATTTGGGTCTACAATTTGTGGCATTTTTATGTGTACATCCGTACATTAGTAACATATACCTGGAGAGGCTGCCTGAAAATGTGCATGATAATCCTATTTCCGCGTCCTCAATAGGTGACTTTCCACTGCATCAGCTTGGGGGCAGGCAGGAGGTGGAGCGTTTATAGGAAAGGCAATATATTTTCAGCCTTTCTGTTTCTATTTGACGATTTTCGACTGCAACATTTAGCTTAACATTAAGAAAAGAAAAAGACGTAGTTACTGTAGATAACTCTAGTTCTAGGAGTATGTGGGAAATGGAACAATAGAGGTTTGTTGTTACAGGCTATATGGTGAATTTTACTTTGCTAATGGAAATGTTAGAGAGGAGAACATTGCTACTCATCGAGACATAAAAAATGGTGCACATTGTTCTCTTTGGGTTTAATCCAAGGCGTTAAGAAGTACCTTGAGTGGGTACTTTTTTTTTTTTTTCTTCCTGAAAACAACCCTGAAAGAGGTTGCACAAAGGTTTACCCTGCCTTAAAACGGCCCACAAGTTCCTGCAGTGAAAAATTGCTTTATGACGAATTGGTTTTCCCACCCCAGGCGTGAATAGGTCTGTTTGAATCAATTACTTTTATGTCTTGGTTGAACAATTCAGCACATGAACTTGTTGTTTTTGAGCATGTATTACTCACCGACAGTGGGTTGGCCTGAAAGCTTTGGGTATTTTTTTTTTTCCCAACCCAGATTATATTTTATTTATTCCATTTTTCCTTTGAGATTCGTCGGATAAAAATCAATAATGTGGGCTGTGGGTTAGAAAGGTCCATTTGGCAATATGTACAGATAATGATTGTGTTTTTATATCAAAGCTTTGTCTGATGCTCGTGGACCAATCGGTCAGTTTGGGGAAGAGAATAAATAGCAATTTTCAGCAACATCAGAAAGCAGAAAGCTACCAACTGATGAAATGACAACTGATAGTGTCTCAGAAAACATTCACTATGTTTTCTGTCAATATTAAACTCCCAGGTATTTGGGGAAAACGTGCAAATAATATATTAAAGTCAGTCAAGGAGACTGTTTTTTATCAAAGAGAATGTTAGATTCAAGCCTCCGTTCCACCTGAATAATTTTCATACAATCCCTAAAATCAAGTGCATTAGTTTTATGTCTCAAATGTGACAATCTGCCAAAGCTTGGTTTCATTTCCAGTATGGAACATATTCCTCACGTCTGTTTGTTAGTTTCTGCAGCAGCATTGAGCGTGCCCTTGTGAATCCTGTCCAGTAAAGTCTTGTAATGTGCACTAACGATAAATGAACTGTAAGTGAGGTAATTTGGTAAGTATGACTCGACGCTCACGCCACCTTTAAGCGAATGACGCTAACGGCCGATGTTCTCTCGTGGCTCTTGGTGTATCTGTGTGCAATGACAAAGAATGCAATGTTGTGAGTTTCTGATATTTTCTCATGTGTGCGTGACCTGTATCTGAACATGATGTGAGGTTATTTTTTCTTCACTGCCATGCATACTGATGTTTGTACATAAATAAACACATACCGTACGCAGAGACTTGACTTCTTCAGACCACAGGTTTGGTTTGAAATGCTTTAATTTGAGATACGACTGAAACCAGAGCAGTCCAGCAATAATCAGAAGGGTTGAACATCCCCCCCCTCCCCTCCCCTTCAAATCTTTAAGTGCCAGATGCAGGTTCATCTGATTCATTCTATCATCTTATTTACAGAAAATACACAACATATTTACAGCATCCTCTCAAAAAAGTGTCTATTTCCACATCTAGTGATTGTTTAAATTAGCCTATTTCTACAGAGCAACATTTTGGAGCAACAAAAAAGAAGATAATCAGTCTTACACTGAGGCAGTTGTACAGTTTATATTAGCTTACAGGGAGCTTGAATCATTCAAATAACATCAAATAAAGGTACAGAGTCAAACTGGCACACACAGCACAACAGTGAGTGGTTCCAAAAATGATTTTAGATTCTTGCATCTATCAGTTATTTATTTTTTTTTTCCTTAAAACACAGTGGTCTGAAAAAGAACAACGCACAGGAAAGCATGGTGAACCTTAAATGACGAGATAAAGCCAGAGTGTTACAACATGGTGTGAACCACTAAGTCATGTTTGCAGAGAAGCTAAATTATATTTCAGTTAAAGCAAACTTCTCACTCGCTGCAGGTTATTATTTACTGCACTTACACTGTACAATCACTCATCCGTCTTTTCTTGGTACATGCACAAACGGGCTCACCTCGCCGCCTACAAACACACAGATCAGCTGTGGCATCTGCACCAACGCCATTTTTGATTAGTCCATCTCTCCAGACGCTCGCCCACCGCTGCAGCTATTTTTACTTTTTTTTTCTTTTTTTTTTTTTAACTTCACCTCGCAACATTCAGCTCTGAGCGTGTGCCCTCTCTTTTGCCTTTTCAGCGGCTGTGCATCCCGAATATCAGAAAGCTAAAGAACACAGTGACTCCCACGAGGGAGATGGTCGCGGGGGCGGTGAAGAACTGCCGGTAGTTGATGCGAAAGTACCACACCACGGCCAGTATCACCACGAACACAGGCACCACCAGGCTGCTGGTGCTGATGGCCACACCGGCAGCCCTGAATCCTCCAGAGACCCCAGATCCGACTCCGGCTCCCGCCCCGGACTGAGCTCCTTCGTCTGGACCGGCCTCGTGCAGGGCCTGGGACACGTGGCAGTGGATCACGCTGTTGTCCGTGATGTTCAGGGATAACAGAGTCCGCTTGGGATCCTGCAGCAACTGGCCTTGGTAAATTAATTTAATTTGATGCTCCCGACCTGAGAAACATTTGCTGGAGCAGAGGAGGGAAGAAAAAGGAACAGCAGTTAAAAGACATAAAATCACACCATTTTTCAGAGCAAGAAATTGTGTTCAGCAGGTTTTAAACTTTTCAACGATCTTACAAATTCTTATCTGTGAGGTACTTTTTGGTCAAGATAGTTCATAAAAACCTACAATCGTGACATTCCATTAATATCACTACATCCTACATGCCTCATTAAAACACTGGCCAAAAATAAAAAGTTTGCGTTAATCAGATTATGTAAAAAAAAACAACTTCCGCTTCAATGTTTTCTCACCTGATACAATTCTTCAATTAACCCTCTTAACCCCAAATCTCACCGACAGGTTTGAAAGGTTTGCTATCTTTGAAAAACTGCTAAATTAAACCGTTAACAAGAGCCAAAACCGTAAAAACAGAAATAATTGTCAGATTATTAACTTTTCCAACGGTCCCTGAACTAAATACACACGTTGTATGGTCGGGAAACTTAACCAAATGTAAGCTGAAAACCATCAAACAATTGAAAAGTTCTGTTCTGTTTTTAGATTCTGGGTGATAAGTGGTGTTAGCTTTTACAGCCAAATAAACAGGAGATAAGTAAAGAGACACATGTCAAAATCTAACTAGTAAAAATCTGTAGTATGTAGAGTCAGCATTTATTTTCTAGTATTGGTAACACCTGTTGATTCTTTTTTTTTTAATTTTGGAAAATAAGTGATGAAAGAAATTCAAATTTGTTTGCATTATTTTCTTTCAGATGTATGCCATTGTAATTGTGTCAAACCTACAGAAGACGTTTTTCAGTTCTCCATATTGCAGTTTAAAATAAGACGGGAGCAAAAGAAAAAAAAAAACGCCCAGAAACTGCTTGAGGTTCAGACAATTAACGGAGCCGTTAGATGGAATTAGATTAAAAGACTGCTCCTGTGTTTGTACAGTAGATCTAAAGTTGCAGCCATCTGTCAATTAGCTTAGCTTTAAGACTGAAAACACTTCATCTGGTTTGGTCTAAAGGCAACAAAATCTGTCTTCCTGCACCTCTAAAGCTAAATAAAATGTGACATCTCATTTGTTTAATCCGAACAAAAGCCTACGAGAAAAATCAATTGCGCGTGAAGTCTCATCGTCAACGTTAACCAGCAGGGACTCCAGGAAATAGTTCCAAAAACAACTTCTTCTAAAACCACAAGAAAAAGTTTCCATCCTTTGTTTTCTGTCATATTTAATAAACAAGGCACAACATCTTAATTAGCAGGCTTTACGACTGGCAGGCAGTTTTTTTTAAACTGTTGGACAGAGTTAAGAAAGCTGTTTTAAGCCTTTATTCTAAGCCAACTGTCTGGTGGCTTCTCTGGAAGAAAGCAAATATGCATATTTTCCAAAACTTTCCCTTTAACAGTCTGTGCACACAGTCTGGTGGTGGATGTCTGCGCTTGTGCTACTAACCTTTTCAGTATTCCCACTGTGTCTTGTGGTTCTACGACTGCCACCTCCTCTGTGTCATTTAAAAACTTCAAGCGGACAGAGATGGAAGTGGTCGTACTGGCGGTGGTCAAAACTGGCTTTATAGCCTTCTTTTCTTCCTCCTCCAGCTCTTCTTCATCCTCCTCCTCCTCCTCCTCATCAGCATCCTCTCCATCAGAAGCGTTCAGTCTTCCGGCCTGAGGTTGTTTGCTCTGTATGTCCAGCAGCAGATCTGTCCAAACCCCCTCAGCTCCCTCCCCTGTCCCCTCACCCTCTCCTCTCTCCGTCGCTGGCTCGCTGTCGTCCGGCTTGTTCTCCTGTGACGGCGGAGGAGTCTGTTGTTCGGGGGCGTCTGCGCCGGCGGGACCCCCGCTGTAGTTCTCGTGGCCTCCCAGTCCAATCAGAGAGGCGTGAGCGCCCACGGTGAGGATGGTGCCCAGGATGTGGTCTCCCCGGTCGGCCACGTGGGTCGATAGCCAAGCCAAGATGAGGGCCAGGACCAGGAGCAGAACGCCGCCTGCTGCCGTTACCTCGTCCTCCATGCCATCCAACATGGTCAGTGCACACACTGCCATCTCTGTCCTCCAAACCTGTACAACACAAGAGGACGCACATGAAGGGTAAGACCAAAGAACAACGTTAAGTGAAGTTTATCTATGTAACAGAAAATCACAAGTTTGTTTTCCTGTCAAATCACAATTTATAACAACGCAAATAGTGAATCACAAAGGCTGCAGTTTTCGATCGACGGTACAGAGCGCATCTGACCCAGAGTTTAAACTACTGTGTGAAGGGTTTTACAGCTTCCTGCCGTCCTCATTTAGAAACAGTCGCTCTTTTCATGGTATCTCATGTGATAACGCTCCATCACATGTTTAGATCCATCACACCAAGAATACTGAACTGAGGCAGGACTTAAAAACCTTATCGCAAATTAATTCACCGCATCTGTTAGAAAATTGCAATTACCTGTTTTCCCCAAACACTCATCCCTTCTGTCTAGTATCACAGTAGAAGACTAAAACATAACGTGATAGAAGATTTAATTTTTTGCATGTTCCACCCATTGCCAGTATTGTGACTGAGGAAAACAAATCAGGATTACAAATTTGGTTCCTTAATTTTTCGGAAAAGAAATGCAGCAATAAAGTAATAAATTGTAACACAGATTTAAACAGTCAGGCTCAAACCTTGTGGCAAGGATCAAGTTATGTTCTGATTGATTAAAATAAGCTCCTGAACATCAGGACAAAGCTGCTTTGTACAAGACCTTCATTCGGGCTAAAAGCAGTATTTCAAATCTTTGTGGCCACATAAAGTAAGATTCTGTAACTACAACTATTGTTGGAAGTTCTGGTTCCCTGTAGTACTTCTTCTAATCCGTTTTCATCAGAACAGATTACATTTAACACAATTACACAGGGACATTGTTGGGTTTTGTTCAGCCACAGAGAAAGTATTAAATATTTGTTATTCAGGTGCACAACCAAAGTAAAATTCAAAGGGAGACGGAAATCAAGAAATAAAACCATCTGAGGAGCAGAGAAGCAGATCAACTACAGTAAAGAGTTTATAGTTGTGTTTCATATACTTGCTGTTTCTAAATCAAGAATCCAGTCTTTGCATTTTGACAAAGTGTGCAGCTTTCTGCATATACATTGCAATATTAGGACGACGTCAAACAATGATTTTACAACAGCTTATCTCATGAAAAATGTACGAAAAGAGAGCTGGAACATGGAACAGATTGAATTGTTTTTACACATTTCATTTCAGCTCTTTATCAAGTAGTCTTGAAATACGATATTACAATATAAGATGAAACTGTAATGTAACAGATGATAATAACCTATATGATGACACCGGAAACAGATCAGGATGCAAAGTTATGAAAAGAAATGCAGTAATAAAGTGATTGTAATACAGAATAAAACAGAACCACAGGGCTTAGACCTTGCAGTAGTGATAAACTGATCTCCTGCACATCAGGACAACACATTTCATAAGGCTGAAAAACTTGGCCTTTCTTAACATTTGCTTTCCTCCTAATGTAAAAACAAACTATAATGACGACATTTCGCAGCTTAGAAGCAACAAATAAGTAGGCTATGTAATGGCAGAACTAATAATAACGCTTTTATGGAGGTATTTACATGTTGAAAAGTCACTGGCCTCATTCAGGATGAAAGTTAATTTGCATACAGCTAGCCAACAGTTCTGCTCAACAGCTGTTTCTTGTAGCACAGAAGCTACATCCAACTATGCAGCCTTGTCAGCTTTCTTTCTCATGTCACGTTTCTTTCAGTCGACATTCAGCCTCTATCTATAGTTAGCCTTTATTAAAGCTAGCCTGCCGTGCTGCTAACTTGTTATGTTATGCTGTTGTTGTCGAGCTAACTTAGCCTAGCAGCTAGCTAGCTAGCTAAAGGAAAAAAAAAAAAAAAAAACGACCTTCGGCTGTTTGAGGTTCGGTTTGTTTCAGTCGCAATAGCTTTCGGACAGAACAGAGGCTTCGTGCGGAGAGTAAATAAAAAAAGTGTTTGGTGTTGGTGAGAGTTGCTGGTACCTGGCAGGTGTGGAATCAGAGCATGTTTGAAGACGAGGCTCGGTGCTAGTTAGCAGCTGCTGCTCCAGACCGCATAACAAACACAGAGGCGGCGTGACGTCAGCACGGCGCCGCTTCCACAGCCCGGTCTCAACCTGTTGATCCGCCGACCGGAGAGCCTCGTCTGACCGGTAATAACGGATAATAACGGAGCGGTGGCCGCGTTCTGATCAGGTGTGATCACAAGAAAAAAAAAAGATTTCAACACAGTTAAAAAAAAAAAAAAGAAAAAAACTGTGTCGGGCTTTATTATTAAAACAATAACAAAAAAAGAAAGTGTAAAATATTAGTTATTTCAAATACCCAACCACAGTATAAATCCACTAACAGACAGAATTCTCAGCTTGTACTTGTAGCATCCATTTACGTAAAAAAAAAAAAAGTAATACTATTTTCTGTTCGCCTTCTTTTTTGAAAATGCATAAATAGATAAATAACATGACCAATCATGTTAAAAACAACCAAAAAAATAGCATTTGTGGATCAGTTATGTATAAACCAACTTACAGTTTGGCGTTTTGGAGGCAGACATACTCTTTACTTTTCAGTAGAGCTGATCTATATGTATTTGTTGGTCGATATTATCAGCTGATGCTAATGCGTGAGTGTTGATCCTGACGCTTGGCACTCAGCAATGTCATAATTTTACTGAAAATGTCTTAAAATCTGCTCTTAACCTGATCAAAAATGTATAATAGTGTAATGGATTTTGACATTGAATGTAATATAATCTGGATTTGTTGGGTTTTTCTCTGTTAAGTCTTGGATATAATCTTGCACAATGTGTACAGAAAGGAGAAGAATTAAGAATTAGAGATAGAAAGCGTATGGATCAAAACTATAAATATGTTTACTGTAGTTGATCTGATCCTTCAGGAGTGTCAGGATGGCTGGACATGAGATATACAGTTGAAACCAGAAGTTTACATACGGCGTATAAAAAGATATAAAACTTTTCTTCGTCACTGTCTGACATTAAATAAGACTAAACTCTTCCTGTTTCAGGTCAGCTAGGATTACCAAATTTATTTTTATTTGCTGAACGCCAGAATAAAGAGAATTTTTATTACTTTCTTCAAAGTCAGAAGTTGACATACATTTCCGTAGTATTTGGTAGCATTGCCTTTAAACTGAATGACTTGGGTCAAACATTTTGGGTTTCCTTCCACAAGCTTCTCACAATAGTTTGATGAATTCTGGCCCATTCCTTCCTGACAAAACTGGTGTAACTGAGTCAGGTTTGTAAGCCACCTTGCTCCACACATCTTTTCAGCTCTGCCCACAAAATTTCTACAGGATTGCGATCAGGGCTTTGTGATGGCCACTCCAAAACATTGACTTTGTTGTCCTTAAAACCTCTATTGGACATCTGATTGAACAACATCAAAGATTACACTTCCTTACGTTGTCTAGACTTACACAGACTGCTGCAGTTTGTCTGCAGCCTTCTGAGCTGTTGCTGAAACATTACCTCCATTAGGCAGAGTATTTACCAAACCAGATGAAAACAATGACCTACTCTCCTTTTAGAAATAATTGTAGACATTTTTAAACGCATTGAATGTGTCAGTCTGGGCAGCCGCATAAATATAAGTGCAGCCCACCTCTTAACGTTGAGGTCACTGCTGCTGAAGCAAAGTTCAGCTACAAACACTGATGTGGTGGAGTCGTATTGTGCACACGATGGGGAAATTTACCATCATAGCTGCTTTGCTCTGCACCTTCAGTAAGTACTTTTTTTTTTTTCTCACTGCAGCTGCTGGCTTTCTTTCTATGCCCCAATTAAACATAATTCACTGATGTTTTTCATTAGAGGTTCATGAATCCGTTGTTTGCTTCAGGTTGGATCTCTGTCTCAGTTGCTGAGTTTGTCACTGTGGAGGTTCAGCCTGCTCAAGAAGTCACACTCATGTGCAACAACTACACTCGTTTGGCCTCGAACATATTCTGGTACAGAATAACCAGTGAACCCATTATCAGCTGTATCTCATCTATGAGCAGCTCTATTGGCAAGGTTTTTCTCTTCGGTGGATTTCAAAACGACAAATTTGATATGACATCCAACGTCACAAACCTCTTTCTGAAGATCAGAAGCGTGGATGTATCTGACTCTGGGCTGTACTTCTGTGGATGTTGCATGGACGGACTCTCAGCATTGGTCAGTCCAATATATTTAAAGGTTCAAGGTAAGATTGTTGTCAAGTGCGTTGTGTCTTTTTGATTGTGTGTCCCAAACTGTGAGGGATTTCAAAATTGGTTCATCGTAAATGAGCTCCAAAACTGCTGCTGTCTTTCTCAAAATCAGACCAGTAGATTTATTGGATTGTGGACTGTATTTTTGTGGATGAGTCACAGTAAAACACTTATATCTTCAATGTAAAATTTACATTAATTTATGTCTTTCCATTTTGTGATTTCCTTGTTGACTTCATCTCACCGTGAAAGAAATATGTTCAGAATTTTAGTGACGGCTGCACATCATTTCAGGGGACAGTGAATTTGACAGTGACATAGACCGCATGTCTCAAAGTAAAATTTCATTCACTGCCTCAAATGTTAGCAAGACCACAAGTCACATTTAGAACATTTACTCTTAATTGTTCATTTTTGTTGCAGGAAAGTCTGATGTAAATACAAACCTGATGGGTGGGATTCTGTGTGGCTTGACTGTTTTGCTTCTAATGGCCATCATTGGTCTGGCTGTAACAGTCAGGAATCGTCACAAAGGTACTTTTTAAAATCTACTGTATCTGTCATATTTGAGGATTTTTTTATTTTTTTTGTCATGGTAGCGCTTTCTAACAAAGCACATTTTACTTGCTGATTGTAGAACGAGTATAGCTTGCCATTTAGTTCATCAGGAAGAACCAAGCAGATCTGTCTTTATAACTCGCAGAGCAGCTGGAACAATATTCATAAACATTTTAACATTTACACAAGCAGAGTTGATGGATTTTTGACAAACCCCAGGTGTGAATGCCATTTACAACTCCAGATGACTTACTGACCTATGGCCCTTTATTCATATAACGGATCTCTTTTGTGTGGGAAAAACTAGTTCTAGTGGTACACTTTTGAATGTTTTCATTTTTTAAAGGTAAAATGTGACCAAAACGAACCAAACCGTCACATTGAAAGCAAAGTTAATACCAACCCATGAGTGTAGTAGACTGTTACACCCCGACTGACAGTCGACCAGGCAGACATGGGTACCGGAAAACTGATACTTGGTCATTAATGGAAACCTATAGACTTCTTTTAAGGGCACTGTATTAGGACATTCTACAAAAAGACTCTCAGTTATTGTTAATTCTCTGACCACATATATTATCTCTTTCACAAAGCTGATGAAGACAAAGCTCCTCAAGCAAGCGAGGTGAATACACTTTCACTACTGACTTCTATAAATGTGATTCATTACCATGTCAAACTGTTCTTTTTTATTTTTTGCATGTGTTTAACATACGTTTTTCTGTCAAACTATGTCCAATGACTGAATACATATTCTCTTAAATATTTATTTACTTATTTCTCACATAATGCTATCATTTACAGATCTATGCAACAGTGAATTTTGCTCGAAATGGAAGAAGAAGAAGAGAGCTGGAGCCAAATGTTATTCAGATAGACTGAACTGCAGCTCAGTGTGAAACTGATGCCTCCTTAATCTGCTGCTTGTATGATTCTTGTGGTTGGGGCTGTTACCATTATATTTGTTAAATGATCGTCATTTTACAGTGAAGATCCTTTTCTGTCTGAAGTGAATGTGATTGGTGTTGAAGGAGGAGGAATAAAGACATTTGTGTGTGTCCACAGTCTCTGATAGTGAGAGTCAAAGTGAGCAGCAGTGGAGGAGAGAGTGAGAACATCTCACTGGTCAGACAGGAAGAGACAACACAGTGTGGTCTGAGGACAGCTGAGGTGGAAATCAAGAGGCCTGTTAGCTCAAAGCTTTGTAAGTCTGAACGGAAGCAGTGAACACTGGCTGACTTTTCTCAGCATATACATTTGTGTAGATGCTTGTATGTAACATCACTGTGGAATTTGGATGTTTTTGTTGATGTAATTGTGCTGCAATTCTGAATAAAAATAGAATTTATTTTAAAAGGACTACTGATTGTATTTATAAACCCACCATCTGCCACAACATTAAAACCACCTGCCTAATATTGTGAAGGTTCCTCTCATGTCCCCAGAACAGATTTGAACTGTTGGAGTACAGACACAGGACCTCTGGGAGTCCAGTGTTAGGATCCTAACACATTTGGAAACTGATGTTGCATTACACATGTAAGGAGAAACTTCCAAAACATGTTTCTCTCTAATCTCAGTCCTGCACGCACAGTACAAGATTTCAAAATAATGGCACATCACACATTGAGGGATAGTATTAAACATGACCAGAGTGAGCTATCAGTGATGTCATCTATTTTGTGAAGTGCACCAGTCCTTCCTGCAGCAAAACACCCCCATAACATGATGCTGCCACCTCCGTACCTCACAGTTAGGATGGTGTTCTCAGGCTTGCAAGCTTCCCCCTTTTTTCTCCAAATGTAATGATGGTCATTATGGCCAAACAGTTCAATTTTAGTTTCATCAGACCACAGGACATGTCTCCAAAAATGAAGGTCTTTGTCCCTGTGTGGATTTGCAACCTGCAATCTGGCTTTTTTTATGTTGCTTTTGGAGTTATGTCTTCTTCCCCTCTGAGTATCCTTCCAGCCCATGTCGGTACAGGACTGGTTTCACTGTGGATAATGACTCTCTGACCAGTTTCAGCAGCATCTTCACAAGGTCTTTAGCTTTTGTTCTGGGGTTGATATGCACATTTAGCACCAAAACATGTTAATCTCTGGGACACAGAACCGTCTCCTCCTGAGCAGTGTGATGGCTGGACATTCCCATAGTGTTTGTACCTATACGTATAATTGTTTGAACAGTTAAGCGTGGACCCTTCAGGCATCTGAAAATTGTAACCAAGGATGAGCCAGACTTCTAGAGTTCCACAGTATTCTTCCTGATATCTTTAGATTTCCCCATGTTGTCACAACAGGAAGCAGTGTGTTTGAGGTGTGCCTTAAAATACATCCACAGGTGTGCCTCCAATTAACTCCAATGCTGTCAGTTAACCTATCAAAAGATTCTAAAGCCATGACATCATCATGTGGGCTTCCCCAAATAGTTTGAAGGCATAGTAATCTTACTGTATGTAAACTTCTGGCTTTGAAGAGAGTAATAAAAAATTCTCTCATTATTCTGGCATTTAGCAAATAGAAATAATTTTGGTAAACCTAACTGACCTAAAACAGGATTAGTCTGATTTAATGTCAGACAGTGAGAAAAAAAAGAGATTACATGTCTTTTTATACATTGTATGTAGACTTCTGGTTTCAACTGTATGCTCTTATCTCTTGATTTCTGTCTGTGGATTTATGTTATGGCTGACTATTTTAAATTAATATTTTACACTTTCTCAGTTTGGTAACAAAAATCGAGCAGTCCAAAAACACCACCAACCAATCCAATATAAACAGGAATAAATAAATTAAAATGAACAGTAATCCAACAAGGAGGAAAAATCGTGTTTATTTAGAATTTCAGAAACTCCATCTAAGTATTTCAAGTTGACAAAAACACATGTTAGTTTAATAAATAAAAGCAACAGGTTATTGTAATGTAAAAATAAATCTTAGATACTGTTTCCAAAGAGGCACCATACTGATAAATATACTGTATGTACACAGCGTGGAGTCAGTGGAGCGTCCCGTCGTTACACAGCAGCAGGTAATCCCTCACAGAGCCGGGAATGTCCAGTTTACTGACCGCTGAGTGGCACCGAGCTCCTAAACGCTGACGTAAAGCACATCTACAGAGATGCTGCAGAGATCGAGGCTGGCTGCTGCGCTGACGCAGCAGGAGGAAGAAAGGACGGAGCTCCTGAGGCAGAAAACAGAAAAAAATTACAGCGTGGGAGGTAAATGAAGAAGAGCAGGGGAGGTTTCATCAGTGCAGAGAGCTCACCTCAGATATCTCAGCTGAGACAGAGTCCAACCAGTCACAGGGAGGGATGGAGGAGTACGAGTTCAGCATCACCTCTAGAGTGGCAGGAGAGAGGACACACTGCTTCAGCTCCTGTAGACGAAGGGGACAAATCAAATCACTTTGTAAACAGAGTGGAAGTACGTTAAAGGAGTCAAGAAGACAGATGTGATTTTAGGTTTTAATCTTAGTATGTCAGAGTGGATTTAAATGACATATTCACAGCATGTAATAAAGTAGATTCAATCATTTCTTTGCCTCAGTTTGCGGGACGTTTCCTCAAACAACCTCACAATTATTTTGATTGTTAGTACAATTAAAATACTGCTCAGATGAGTGACATTAGACTGTTTGCTTTCACTTATAAATATCATGATATTTTTTGCGACATTAGTCTCATTGTGTTCTTAATAACAACTGATTTTATTGTCTAATTTTAAAAAATGTGTCGATTTTTGTTTTTCTTTAAGGTTACGAAACTCAGCTCATCTTCTGTCTCTCTACTTTAAGCTGCATTCTGAAACTTTGACATGTATTATTTGCATCAATTAATTCATCATTCATTGATTCATTAACATCAATTAATCAGTCACTGATGATGTACTGATTGTTACCACTGTTGCTTCACATCAAGAAGCTTCTGGTTTCTGGTTTAACTGGGGCTTTTGTGTGTAGAGTTGGCATGTTGTCCCCATACCTGCAGCTTCTCTGGCTTCCTTCCACAAGCCAAAGACATGCCTAGGAGGGTAACTGGTGGTTTCTAATTGGTCGCAGGCGTGAGTGTGAGCGTGCACGGTCGTCTGTCTCGATGGCCCGATCCCAATCTCCACACTCACGGACTTTAAGGCTTGTTTGGGCCATGTCTGAGGGCTCAGGGCTGTCTCACAGGCCAGTCGGCATGTTCATAGGACTTGCTTATAGTTTATAGCAACATTTGTGACCTATAGTTGTCCTCCCCCCACCAAAATGTGACAAATGTACTAATGTAAGCATGGATAAGTTTATCTGTCAGATGCAGCATCCAGCTGCTCACTGTTGGCGTTTTTTTTTATTGCATGTTTGCAGAGTTGTTTGTATTTTTAGGATTTACAAATGTTTGTGGCTTTTGCTGTTTCCAAGCCTGCTGTTATGAGAGTGTATCCCGTTTTTTCTTTTTATATCATTTCAAGCCCTCATAACTCATGATCACAACATTGCCCTGAGGTTAGATAGGCCTGTGAGGGTTTTGTGATTTGGCCTTGAGCCTTGATTATGGTCCCTTGTGGAAACGCAAACGGTAAACTGAGGATTGAAGAACTGCACTCATGAATGTGCAGTAGGTTGTACATATAAAGTGGACATGCACCTGAATGCATAAAAGCCAATTTAGGCTTTCTGCATCTGTGTTTCTGCAAAGGCCTGTGTGGCACAACATTCCTCATCTGCCTAAATCACAAGGGTCCACACTGACCCCTGAGTGGACATCTGCACTGCAAGCTTGTCACCTAGGCATGCACCAGGAAAACAACAAAGGCTTGTTTTGAGGAGTGATTGTGTGAAAAGATTCTCCATCATCCACGCCTTTATAATTCAATATTTAAAAAGTTGTGATTGAAGTAGCTGGTGGTGGGCTTTGGAGGTTTTTTCAATTTTTACATAATTTCAATGCCCAAACTCAGTCAGAAGTTCTAAATTCTCCAGAAATTCTGTGCTGTGTTCAGCAAAACTCAGGAATAATCACACTGACTCGGCGCTACAGTCCAATCTGGAAATTCACAGCCTGTCTGAAACATCCATGGGAGCATTATATTTTTTCATACAGACTGATCCATACTTACTTTCAAAGTCTGCATTGGTTTCGCAGAACCCATGAATTGTCCTTTGTGTTAGCCCTGCTTATCCAGGCTGCACCCTGCCTAATGTCAGTTTGGATGTGCTCCAGCCTCCTGCAACCCTCTACAGGATAAAAGCAGGTCTCGCATTTGTCTCCTCTTTGGCCTGTAGCTGTAGCATGAAGATGTCGTCTTTACATATTGTAAAACTGATTTCTCACAAACTTCCATAACTACTATAAACTCAATCATGTCAGCATGCAGGAATTCATCCTTTCTTTTCAAATACACCTGTCGACCACCAGGTAAAACCTGATTTTACATGCAGCCGTCACCACATTCTGTCAGAGTTGCTGCTACCTTTGGTGAAACCGACTTCGCTCCATGGTTCAGAAGAGATCTTGCTATTGCTTCAGGTTGCTGGTCCGGAAAATCCTCCACCACCTTAAGAACCGAGGAGAAAAAGGTTTAGCCTAATGCTCTCTACATGGTGACTGTATTTGCAACGCTAAACTTTACTCCTTCACCACAGCACTCATCCGCTACCTGCAGCAAACAGTCCATCGGTGTGTATCCTGCACAGTTCTCAACATCTGCCTTCGCTCCGTGTTGCAGGAGGACGTCTACGATTCTGTGGCAGCAGTTTGCACAGGCGTTGTGCAGCGGGGTGTGCTGCTTCCTGCCTGCGGTTCGTGGGTCAGCTCCTGCGTCCAGCAGGCTTTGAATGACACGGAGGTAGCGTCCAGCCTCAGATGGCCTCTCAGCTCCGGAGCAGGCAGCATTCAGGGGAGTCTCCCCCTCTCGATTTGTGGCTAAAACATCTGCTCCGTGGCTGAGGAAGAGCTGCACGTGCTCCTCCAGGCCTCGCCGAGAGGCCACATGCAGAGGTGTGAGCCTCGACTCCTTGGTCCTCACGTTGACCTCTGCACCTCCTTCTAAAAGCAGCTCAGCACAGCTTTAAAAAAAAAAGACAGATTTTAATCATGACTTGCACCAGCCTCATTTAGTTTCATCTGGAAATCCATTTGCCTCATTAAATAAAAATTATATTATCCCAAGATCCTTTTCCACAGTAGCAGAAATGTCTTAAAGAAAATTAGGATGAAACTCAGTTCTAGTTGCCTCCTGGGCAAAAATGAACCTAATAGAGAATATTTATAGTAATGTACATTCAATAATTAGTTGTCAGCTCCTTTCGCACTCACTGGAATGACTGAGCAGAAGCGCAGAGATGGAGAGGAGCGCTGCCATCTGCAGCCAGCAGTTCAGGATCTGCTCCATGAGACAGCAGCAGCTGGACACAGACAGAGTGACCTCCTATACAGGCGTCATGGAGGGCCGTGCTGCCTCCAGGGTTGTCGTTCACCTCAGCTCCCCGAAACAGCAGCTCCTCCACGCAGCCTGTGTGTCCTCTGCTGGCAGCCAGACGCAAAGCCGAGGTTTGTTTCACCTTAGTGCTCAGCGTCCACATTCCTGACAGGAACAGAAACACAGTCCAGTCAGTGTTAACGGCATGATGATGTAGATAATCAGATCTTTGAAGTCGTACCCATCTCTGGAGTCCACACCATCTCCTCGTGCACCGTCTCCATCATGGCGTTGACCATGGCGGGGTCCTTCAGCACAGCATACACTCCTTTCATGTCGCCACACATGAAGGTGTTGTGGATGCTCGTGTCTCTGCAGTGGACCTGCGGTGGAGGAGCCCTGACCTCCTGGAGCCGCTGCTGCCTGGGAGGAGGCCTGGGGGCCCGAGGCAGCGGGGCCCGGGTCATGGCTCTTCTATGAGCCAGCGCTCGGCGGGCATCCTCCCAGTCCTGCAGCTCCTGATCCAGCCTCAGAGAGCGCAGTGAGGAAGAGGAGAATGGAAATGTGTCTTTGGACATGGCACCTTCAAGTCAGTCAGATATAAATGTCAGCTTGTTAAAGAAACTACACTACTTTATGCCATTTTTCAGTTTCATCTGAGCACACAGTCCAGACATTAAGCTCCTTAAGCGTCTTGCCTCTGAAGCACTGTGCAGTTACTGTTTGCAAAAAATGTCAACCTACAGCTGTTACTCACCCTGTACTGGAGTTGCCGTGAGTCACAGGGGTCCAAACAGTGGTCAAGTAAACACTTTCATCATAGGAATCAGCCCCAGTTTGCTCTTCAATTAAACTAACATGGAGAAATTAAATGTCCTTGCTTTGTGGACACAGTCACAAGATTGTTGCTCAAGCGCAAGTTCAGCACTGGTTATTATTAGATCAGAATGCAAGCTGATACTCAACTTATGCACGGCGGCCACTGGATGGCAGAATTGACCCAGGATTTATCTCCAGAACAGCTAAGCTGAGCAAAGAACAAGTACATGACAAGATAAACGTTGTCCTAGCATTGTTCAAAGAGGACCAGCACACCATCACAAATGACACAAAAGTGTTGCAGGGCACAGAGTGCAGGATTCTTGATGCAACATTATTATATTTGCAGTAAAATAAGAGTTGTAGTGAATGCTACCCAGTGATTTAAAAATAATAATGAGGGAAATAATATTATTAGAATTTCAATGCTAAACTTGGACAAATGGAAAGGGATTATGCAAAATTAACTGTAAGATAAATGACTGTTCTGGTGTTACAATGATATGAGCTGTTTGTTTCATGATGCCTTGTTCTTCAGGATGTGAAACAGTTTGAATGCATGAGTTTTTTCTCTGCAGATAAGATGATGGAGAAAATGTGCGCAACAATCTTCCTTCATGTGCTTTTATTGACCAATTTGAGAGACATTACATGGGATTCTGGTTGTCCTCCTGCAGTGAATTTTGAGCATGAAATACTTAATTTCCTGCATTCTTGCAAACCAATTTGCCGATTTTTTTGCATCAATTTATGGTAGAAATGTCTTTATTTATGTAAACAAAAACTCAAAATCCAGACACCAGGTGACAGTTCAAAATATAATGGAATATAATGCAGTTTTGCTTTTAAATATTTATTCTATTTCTATCTATTCTGTAGATGAACTTTTCTTATTTGAAATTGTCCCTGCTGAGAAAGACAGCCCATATACAGGTATGATTTACTCTTCTGTCCTCTTTTTTTTTTTTTTTAGCCTTTTGTTCGGGGAAGGAACCTCAGATGCTGTTCATTCTGTTGTTAAATCCCTTCACTGTACAAGTTGCACTCAATAAGCAGAAATGAATTCCTAGTTCATGGTTCTTGTCCTCTCTGCTATTTGCAGGGGCGTTTGTCGAAAAAGTAACAGAAGGGAGTATGGATTGATGAGGAGCTGATTTTTAAATATCATGTGTCCATACTTGTGACTAAACTATGATTAAAAATGGTTTCTGTTACAGGAATAAATCATGTTTGCCACTGCATTGAAGAAAATGTATGTCTTGAGCCCTTAAACACTATTTATCTCTCCACATTAGGATCCATTACTGGTGATAATTACAGTATTTATCACTGTGAGCTGTATGCTAAGATTGGCTGACCTTTATTCTCTGGCTTTATTTATTTATAAGGCCCTTAGTATTTTCTTCTATTTTTTTTACCTCCTTGCATTACTTCATCGTTCTCTTCTAATGTCAGAATCAGAATCAGTTTTATTGCCCAGCAGGTTTTCAGATGAGAGGAATTTGATGTTGACCTTAGCATTACAAGTCATATAAACAGCATGTCTAGCAAATACAAAGAATTCTAAGTAATAAAAAATAACACTCACGCAATGACTGGATTATGTTGCAGATGCCAGGTGTTTTTTAATGAGGTAGAGAAATCCATTTTTACTCACTGCAAACTGAAATAACCTACAAAATAACCATATCTAAAGCCTGACTAATTTTTATCCTGAGGGCTGTTCAAGCTTCATAATTTAATCTTATGTTGCTTCCAGGTGCTCCTGTTTCAGTTGATTAATTTGGTTTCATATCTTAAATGTTCTAACTAATGTTATTTTTTGTTATTGTACAAACTTTTCCCTTTTCTATTTTTATATCAGTGTTATTCAAGTTTATTTGCGTGCCTTTTATTTTCTCACTCAGCTACATTATAAATTAGGTTTCCATACCTCTGTGGACTCTGAGTTTGAATAAAGGTTGAATCAATGAATGAATAGACAAAATAATTAAATTAAATATTTAATTAATGAATGTAAAAAAAAAAAAGCATGACGTGTGAGATTTGATGCGGAGTGAATCATCTTGTATTGCTTCTACACGCTTTGTATAAATACGCGTGACGTCATTACGTCATGTTTGGACGTCATTACGTCGTGTTTGAACGTCCGGCGCGATACCCAGCAGCAGGAGCAGCAGAGAAAAACTTAAGTTAGCCTACTAGCTAATCGGGTTTTCTCGCTACAGTAAAGGAATTGATAAAAGAAATGAACTCATATTTACACGCCGATATTGAATGGCATTGTGTGTCTTATTAAGTTTGGTGTATTTCTCCAAACTTGTCCAAAACGGCTTTCATCGCGATATCTCATGACTGTGATGGTAAGTGAGCCAAACTTAGCTTAATGTGCTAACAACACAGTCACCAATCACACATAACAGGAGTAAATGACACTTTTTCGGAGTTTATGGGGCCATTTTTTTTTTGTTGCTAAGTAGCATCTGGACATTTATTGCCGTGAAGACATTTCATTGCTTCTGTTTCAGACTTGCAAATTAAGTGGCCTGTTCAGCATTGGCGAGGACTTTGATGATGAGGTGATTCCCAGCAGGCTTCTACACACCTGATTTCCACTGTTACTTAATTGTCAGTGTTCTGTAACATAATGATGCTCCTTCTGTTCGCCTTCCCTCCCACTGTGTCTGTGTGTGTGTCTGTGTGTGTGTCTGTGCGTGTCCCAGGACCTGCTTGGGACAGACTGGGCTGCCTGCTCAGCGTCTGGACCAGCCGATGTGGCAGCTGCTGTGTCATCCTGTGCCCTGCGTGCTTCCTCGGTCGCTCACGGAGAGCCGGAGAACAGTTGCCTTCAGCAAACTGGAAGGAGATCAGCTTCCCCGTGTGGTGGCACAGCATCAAGGAGCGGCACGCACACTGCTGCTGCCGCTGCTGCTGCTGCTGAGGATGCTGGACGAGCTGTTGCTTTCGGTTTGAGGCAGCTCTCCTCCTCCTCCTCCTCTGCTCAGCTTCCTCCTCCCACCACACTGCCAAATTTGGCATCACAACAAAGTCTTGCAAAGGCGCCGCTGAAGCCCTGCGCAGCTCAGGATGATTTCGATGACTGGGATGTTGACCTGGCAGACCTGGATGAGTGCGACAGCCAAATGGAGCCTCAACCTCCTGCTCCCGCTGCACCTGCTGCCCCCACGGTCACGCCTTCATCTTCTGCCAAAACGCTGCGACCCTCGACCTGTGGAGGGCCGCTACCTGATCGGACCCTTAGGGAGCTCAGCAAGACTTCCAGCTCATCTAGTCGTAACCTTCCTCCTCGGGCACTTTCTGTTTTGCAGCCTGTAAACCCCCGCCCCGCTCCGCCGCAGAGTCCTGGTGTTTTCCCCGGCCGTGCCGCGACCTCTCCTGCCCCCAGCCTCTTTTCCAGGACGCTGCAGCAGCCACATAATCCACGAGTAACTCCAAGACCCTCCCCTCAGACCGGCAGACTTTTTGAAACAGTCTCTCCAGCGTCCTCTTCCTCTCCCTCCTCCAGTTTAAGCCCTCATCCACTTCACACACCGGTCCTCACCAATCGCCTCGTGCAGCTCGTATCAGCATCCAATAAGCTTCCCAAGAAGAGACCTCGCTCTGAGCCTCACCGAACCAGGACGCGACGCTTTCCTGGTCCTGCAGGACTTTTACCACAGCAGGTAGGTCTCATAGCATCTCCCTCTGCCCCTTTTGATCAGTGAATTAAATGAATCACTATTCAAGAAATATGTCAGGTATGTGTTTGTCTTTCACCACGGTGACATTTAGTGATTTCAATCTTCTTTCTCAGCCTCAGGGTCAGAACCTGGAGGAAATCGTGGTTTCTGTTCCTCAGACTCCTGCTCACGGGGTTGTGGCCCGTATACCCAGCCAGGTAAATAAAACACATAAAAGCATTCACCGAAATCCTGACAGATCTTCAACAGATGATGATTTTATTTTCAGCCAATCAGTGTGTAGTTTTCCTAATTAAAAATTCAAATGTCAGATAACAGTGGAAACAATGTCCCAGAGCCAAAGTTGACATCATGTTATGTCCAATAAACAGACCAAAAGTTAAAATGTTCAGTTGAGCAGCATATAAGACACAGACAAACAGTAATATTTATTCTAGAGAAACTATAAACCGCAAATTACTGGAAATTTTAATTAAAAAACGACTTGCCGAATAATGTCACGTCGATTGTTACAACTGTAATGCTGTAATTATTCCACTAGTTTGTTGGATTGTGTTACAAACAGGAATAAATTAGAGTTCAGCTCTGCCTCCTTCAGGATCACCAACTCAGGAACTAAAATAACTCTTCAAATCTACCGTCAGACTCCCCTTCTTTAGTTTGACGTTGTTAAACAGCTGTAAAATCACAGCAGCAGGATCCAAACTGTCTCCAAACTGAGTGAAGGGCTGAGCGCAATTTACTTTAGTGACCCACCGGTGGTAACTTCATGAATTATTGACATCCTCTGATGTGTCATTGTGACCGTACATAGCTTCACTGATTCCACAGCGAAATCACTTACAACAAAACAGTCGTGTTCAGGATAAATCCAGCCCCATCACGGCTGCAGCTACAGTTTTATTCTCAGGAAAAGCACGACTGTCATTTTCTCTAAAGAATATCATTATATTGTTCTGTTGTATGAAGTGGATTATTGCAGGGATTTGTCAGTTTTGCTGCTTAAATGCTGCAGTATTTACAGTCATTGGAATTATTGCAAGAATGGAACTTATCTAATTACTTAAATGAGACAACAGATGGTCGGCCGAATAATGAAAACACAGTTTATTATCCTCAGTCTAATGGCTGCTGCAGATACTTTAGTTGGGTTTGTGCAAAGTGTTTTTTTTTTTAAGTACGGCAGGAATTCCAATGTTTCCTGAACCCTCAGTTAAATGCAAATGCTCATCAAAATTATTCAACAAAAATGACACTACGGTGTACTTGCCAATATGCCTTTATATTTAGGGTGATGTAATATTCTCCTTTCGAATTTCACAGAGGGAAGTTTTTTTTCTTCTATCAAATTCATTTAAAGTGTTGCATCATTCAAATTACCAGAAAATACAGAAAGTACAGAAACGAAATGAAACCAAAATGAGAATCTTAGTGGAGTCTGGATATTTAGACAGATTTAATTTGAGATATCATGCTGTGAACTTTTACCAAAACGATACAGGGGAATGGAAATGTAGTTTTTAGTTTAATGGCAATTACAAAATTCTACTGCTTTTGTTTCAGAAACAATTTATTTTTTCCTCTGGAAAGTCGACAACGTGTACATTTTTCACTGGAACTACTTTCAGTTAAAGAAACAGACCTTATTTCTCAGTGGCAGGCTGTGCATTTTACTCTGAGGCCCTCAGTGGCATCCTATCTTATCAAACCACCTCTTAACACCGTCGTAATGAGGCCACGGCTATAGAAACCATCAGTATGATACAGAAAGGCAGTAGAACAGGATGTTCACAATTCAACACGTTTCCATTAACTGCAGCCACAGCTGCACCATACACATCTCATCTAGTAGGAGCATCAATATCAGCCCAATAAAATAAAAAATATACATATTTTACTCACCAAAACTTGTGATGATTTGAACACAAAATCCATCCTCCTTTCTTTAATCATTCAGTCACTCTGCTGAGCAGGTAATCCGTATGTTTCACTTCCAACAATAAGTCCTGTTCTATTGCCATGGAGGCTAATGCTGAAAGTCGGGTCTGTCCAGTCATGTTTCTGGCATAAGTTTCAATTCGCTGTAGGGCTGAGAATGTCCGCTTGCTTAACACACACAAAAAAAGTAAATCTTTTACGATAATGTTTTAGCTTGTGCAAGTTGCTGCAGATAGCTAGCTTTGGCTGAGCTCTCTGACCATCCAATCAGAAGACGTGGAAATGCTGACGTTATTGTAGGCCAGCTAGCCAGCCCTGAAACCATCATCTCTAAATCTGATTGGTTAAAGCAACAGTGTCATTACAATGCATTTCAAGCTACAGGGGCCTGCACTTTTGATTCTGAAGATCTCAGGGCAGATTTCTTTGACCCTGGCAACACATGATGGCCGAATATAAGCATACAGCCCAGAGACACACTATGGAATGAAGAGAACAGACTGCTATCATGTGAAATTATGTGAATAATGTGAAAAAAATAATTAATGGGAAACTATTACAACATATGTCAGTGATTCTAATAGAGTTTAGGCCAGCAGAGAAGGCCTTGCTGACCCTGATGGCACACCACTGCTTTTTCTACAGTCTGTAGTTCGGTCTATGAGCCAAATACATGCCAGTTTAACCCCTGGTCACTCGTGATCTCCTGTGTTTCAACCCTGCTGAGCTGCTGCTGGTCGCTGAGCTACAGCACACAGTGTTACCTTCAGGACCTCCTGGGGAAATGTTACTTTAAAGTTTAAACTGCTTTTGTTCCCTGAAACAAACAGAAGTGGTTTTCAAATCAAAGAGAGCAGAACATGTCACAATAGCCTTCTCTTTCTGCTTCTCAAGGAGTGCACTGGGGGATAAACTGCGCAGAATAAGAAAAGAGGAAGGAGATGCTGGAAAGAAGAGCGTTCATGTTTTGATCACAGTATAACAAAAGATATGTAGCACAGTCATTCTTTTTTGTGTGCAGAACAGAACAGAGGAGCAATAACTGATCGTTTTCCTGCCTGCAGCTAACAAGACTTTGTCTGTTTCCAACATGACTGTTTGGGATTCACAACAAAAACCTTCAGAAAAACCTTTGTTTTCCTACTTAATAATTACAACATGCTGAGATTTGTGTTATCTGACGTGAAGGCAGACTTACTGTCTGTTTTGATCTTCCACATGTTCCAAGATGCCGTTTTTCCTTCTTCTTTGTATTGCTTCAGAGGTAAATGAAATTACAGAAATGACATGAAAATCAACAGTGTGAGGTCAGTAAACAGATGTTTTGGCCACATGGGGGCAGCGGTAACTAGACATGAGAACAGTACTGACATCAGCTGTTGTGCTGACATGGAAAACTTGTTGGCAAACAGTTGCTGATTTACACATCCAGCTTATTAGTGACATGTAAAGTCAGTCTGTTGATTGGTGCATTGTTTTCACACGATACATACAAATAGTAATTATAGCCGCTTTAACCCTCTGACATCTGAGCAGCTTTTTGCTACTGTCACATTTTTCTCACTGTGGGCTCATTTTCTGTGTAATACAAAGTTCTGAACCTAAATGGAAACAGTACAAACATGGCTTCAAGTCGGCAGAACTCAACAATGTCTCTTGTGCAGTATAATAGACTAATACTGCCATAAATGACAAAAAGAAATAACAAAAGTTACATTTCTTTGATTATTAATTTTATAAAAACTGAAGAAAGCTGGGATCAACAATTTTCCTCTAGTTCCCACATGTCTCACCAATGCTGGGTAAAATGTTAAGCTCCTCATTCTACAGATATTTGACCATTTATTTTTATGCAACCTCTACAAACTAAGTGTTTTTCACACTACCCTGCATATCAACTGTAGAAAGATATTTCACAGTGCTGACTGTATCTTCCAAAAAAAATTGTTGCACCATTTTTGAGCCATGCTGCATTTATTTTATGGCTTGAGTATGTTTTATTTTCTTCAATACTTGTCTTTAGTCTGCAGCCTGCACCTGAAAAGTCTCAACGCTGAGTCACTTGAGTGCACATTTTTTTAGTTTTTTAATCGGATCTGATTGGTGCTAACAGTCTATTTGTGGTGATTTTTTGTGAGATATCCATCCATTATCTATACACCGCTTAATCCTCACTAGGGTCATGGGGGCTGGAGTCTATCCCAGCTGACTTAGGGTGAAGGCAGGGGACACCCTGGACAGGTCACCAGTCTATCACAGGGCTACACTTAGAGACAGACAACCAAGCACACTCACATTCACACCTACGGACAATTTAGAATCACCAATTGTTGTCAACATGTTTTTGGACTGTGTGGGAGGAAGCCGGAGAACCCGGAGAGAACCCACGCTGCACGGCGAGAACATACAAACTCCACGCAGAAAGATCCCGGTGCCCCCACCGGGATGTGAACCGGCGAACTTCTTGCTGCGAGGCTATCATATATTTTATGATATATTGCGACATGCCACAAATGATTAGTTCAAACACTGTCTGAAAAGTTGGAAATCCGATTGTTCTTTCTGTTTTTACAGTTTCTGCCTCTAAAACAATAATTTTGGTGATTTCTAAAACCAATAACAAATTCCTTAAATAAAGTCTGCTCCAAAAACAGCCAGAACACATTGCACCTTATTTCATTTGTACACATTTAAGTCAACATCATGACGCCATCAATAAACAAGATTTTTGCACAATAAACGTCCACCATTGCAGACAACAATAATATTCTGAAAGTTGCAATATCTGGGTTTTCTGTTGCTCAGAAGTTGGTCTGTGTGTGCACACAAACCAATACAATTTCCCCTCCACCTCAAATGTTGCTCCAAAGGGATCAGGAGACATCTACAATTATCACTGCTGGATGGTCACAGTCTATGACTTGCAGCCACTTCTGTTCTGTTTCGTTGCCTTAAAGATGTTTACAATGCCTCTTTAAAGAATTTGCAACTTCCTGATTTCACAAATCCTCCAGTGGGTTTTGGTAGTTCAGAGGGATAGAGATCAAGAGTTACATCACTGCAGTAGCTGTTTTTTGTTAGTTAACAAACAGTTTGGCTTTATTTTTAAGGGCTCCAGCTCACAGACGGAGGAGGATGAGTTCAGCGGTGGCGCCTGGGCAGCGATGAAAGCAGAGATGGGTTTGGATGAGAGGAATCCGTCATGCTTCCTGCACTCCTACAGTGTGGTCATGGTGCTTCGCAAGGTAAGCTCTCATTATCATAACAAATCCACTGTTGTTCAAACACAAACTGCAGGAAGAGTCTGTTGCACCGTTGTCTAAGCATGGATATTTAGGTCAAGCAGTTTCTTTAAAGTTACTTATCCTCCATCATCGCAGCCTTGGTGTCGCAGCTGGAGGTCTATTGATATAATCAGGACAAATGACGGCGCTGCACCGGAGGTGTTTTGTGATTACAAACAGTGCGATCAGTCATCAATCACGCTAATGGAGACTGGGCCGTTGTTCTGCTCTCTGTGCAACTACCGGAGGCGGCCTCTGTGGAGCAGCTTTGAGTGGCAGCCGTCCTGAGTACTTACACATGTTGGTTTCTGCTGTGTTTGCTTGTCACCGACTCCATTTACATGCACAGAGTCACTGGCAGGACGCTGGCTAAGCTCATTCAGGTTAAGCTGTTTACATGAATGTCAGCTTTCCAAAATCCTTGTTTGCATGAATAAACAAATTAGCACACAGCCCTAACATGTTCCATCTAATGCAGTGGAAAGAAAGGATGATCCCAGTAGTAAATCCTGCTCGCTGCTGTTTATTTATTGACACCGGAGCATTTTCCTACCTCTGTGTTGGTGCTCGTAAAGAGAGAGGAGCAAGATTTAAAGCTGAGGTGATTAGATATTCAGTAGGTACAACCTGAGATCTTATTGATTTAGGGTTTGAGTTACCTTTGAAAACAACAGGGAGCAGTAATTTGTCAGAATGACTAAACACCCCTCAGTTAATCTTAAATAAATAAAAGTGCAGCTGTGTGTGTTGCTGTGCTCCTAATTACTGGCTCAACTTCATGGCAGGCACAGCAACTATCAAAATGGTTATAGGTGTAATGTCAAGCTGTGTGTGGATGCAGTGTGAGGCTGAAGTACAGAAAGTATGACGTTTTACTGATGTTCATATACGATATTTTTAAAGTTATGTGATCCCAGCAAAAATAAAAATGTTTAGCCATGAACCTTAAAGTTCTCTTAGATTGAATATTTTTTCAAATGATTGTTGTAGCTATAACATTTAAAATGGTAAAAACTGCCCATATAGTTAGTTAGGGTCCTAATGTTAATTTTTAAATCACGTAATGAAGTAATTTGTTGAGAGTATACAGTATTGTAAGGTCTTAACCTGAATTTTATCATGGTATATTTAAATGTCATGTAATATTGTAGCGCCTTGGGTGTGATATTTAAACTTTGTCGGTAAATTCATGAGGCCACTTTTATTTCTGTATTTGAAAGCACTTTGGTTCAGTGGCTGTTTTAAATGTGCTGCATAAATAGTGTTGACTTCACTTGACCAACACTCCAATATTCATCAATCAGCCAAACGTTAAAACCACTGACAAGTGAAGTGAATAAGATTAATTATCTCATTATAATGGCACCTGTCAGCGGGTGTGATATATTATGCAGCCAGTGAACAGTCAGTTCTAGAAGTTGATGTGTTGGAAGCAAGAAGAATTGGCAAATGTAAAGAGCTGAGCGACTGGGAGAGATATCTGGACAAGCTTGGTCAGAGCATCACTCCAGCGGCAGTCGTTGAGTGGTGTACGCAGAGGGTGTTCCTCGTCAAAGGTGCTGCTTCTCAACTGGTAAACTGGTGACAGGGTGTCCAAGGCTCACTGATGAAAACCTTCGTGCTGCTGTGGTAGAAAGGTGTCAGGAAACAGAGTGAATAACAGCTTACTGTATATGAAGCTCTGAAGCTGCAGAACAATCACAGTGTCCATACTTACACCAGTCCACAACCAAAAGCTCCTACAGTGGCAAATGGACCACAGAGCAATGTAAGAAGGTGGCTTGGCCTGAGGAATCAGGTTTTCTTTTCTGTCATGTGTTATTTACTTGGGGAAGAGGTGGCAGCAGGATGCAAGATGGGAAGAAGCCTGTGGAGGCACTGTGATGGTCTGAGTTAAGTTCTGCCGAAAAGCCTTGGGTGGATATATTGCTGTTAAAAATTAAACCGAATAAAAATATATGAACAGATTAAGCAGAAGACAGAGGACATGCATGTTAGACAATGTCTTGTACGTGAGCCGAACCTCTTCCTGTTTTGTTTGTTACACGGTTACTCTGGTTTCTCGTAGCGCTCATGTCTTGCGCCTTTTACTCAAGACATCCCTGGGGAGTGACTCCAACAAATATAGCCCGTTTTTGGCAGGATTTGTCGTCTGGTGGAGCCGTATTTTTCTCAGAATTTCCTCAAGGGGAAGAGTACGGTGCCTGTGTGGTGTTGAACACCGCAGTGACCTGAGGAGGCGTTTGCACAGTCTACAGGCAGTTCCATGATGCCGAGCTGTGAGCATCATGGGGGTTTGGCTACCAACTGGCCACCATGACAGAGACGACTATTCGGGTCATTGGTTTGCAGCCAGTGCTCATATTTTCAAGACAAGCTGTACTCTAGTTTGACAGTTTTCCCAACTCCAGGTGTCTTGTGGAACCGAGCCATTTGTGACGGAAAAATCACGTCTGTAGTTGGGAAAAACTGACAGTCCTTGGAAGAAAGTAATGGTTAATGCATTGATCGATAATGCTGAGGACTATTTGGTGAGAAAAAGGAGTAAAATTGACATCCCAACCCTGCACTCCTGTTGATGTTACTTTGAGACCTACCGAAACATGGCTGCAGACCACGTTCACGCCTTCATGGCAGCTGTATTCACATATCAGCACAATGCAGCTCCCTGCCACACTGCAAACATTGTTCAGGTAGGGTTTGAGAAACATGACGAGGAGTTTAAGATGCTGACTAGGCCTCCAAATGATCTGTATCTCAATCTGATTGAGCATCTGTGAGTCCAGGCTTCAACAAGTCAGAGCTGGGTCACTCCGTCTTCAATCATCAAATTTTAAAACAATCCCTGCTCAACCATCTCTGGTTTGCCTAAAATATTTATAGCATAGAATATGGACATTTATAAAGATATTTGTGAAATTTTTAGCTGGATATATTCAATATTTGAATATATACATACATTTATATATTTTTTAACTTGCTGCTCAATCCACTGTCAACTTGTTGTTTTTTTTTTTTACACGTTTGAATTTGTGGCTAAGTTCGGATGTCAATATCTCAGCTCCTATTAAAGATAAAAGCCTGAAATTTTCACTATTATTTCTCATCAAGTCGTTGTTTCAGAATCTGAAGAGCTGATCAAATATTCTCTGATTCTGGGTACGTTGAAATATGAAAAAGTAATATTAATTCCACCATTTGAATTCCCATTTTTGAGCACGTAACAAAACATTATCTCAGAAAGCACCTGATATAACTGTCTAAAATGTTGCAGATGCTATTTTCAATATTGATAATGTGTGATAAAAGTTTCAAGCAAATCAGAAAGAATGATTTAAGATGGAATAATCCAGCTTTTCTGGCAGCATGAGTGGGACCTCCACAATATGAACCAGTGTGGTTTTAATGTTATGGCTGATTCGTTTTTTTATCTTATTATCATATATGACACAAAAAAGCTTCACATCGTTAGATTTTACAAGCTTGACTGAGTAAACTTGACATGTTTGCTGGAAACGTTGCGCAAAAGATTAATTATCCAAGTGGCTGCCAGTTAATTTAGACTGTCAGTTAATCAATCAATTAACCAATCAAACGGAATCTAATGAATGTGGTGGGGTTTTTTTTTTTCCTCCTCCACTCAGGCTGCACTGAAACAACTGGCAAGAAACAAAGTGCCCAACATGGCTGTGCTTCTGAAGAGCATCATCCACACACATGCTGATGCCAAGGCTGTATTTAAAGACCCTACAGGTAGTCCGCACACACACACACACACACACACACACACACACACACACACACACACACACACTGATAGAGCTGATACAAAACACTCCAGAATCTGAGGGCCCTGTTGTAAAGTAAAGAAATTTGGGTGAGCTAACGAGGAAGGTTGCTCCACATGGTCCGAGAGCAAAGTCCAGCCTTTGTAACATCCTTTGTTACACTCAGACACACAAACGTGTACACGAAATACACTAATCCAGTCCACCTGCCTCTGCAGCAGGAAGCCTCGACTAGTTTCCCGCCTTAAGCCTTCACCCTTTTGTCTGATCCACCTCTGAGCTGAGCCGGTTGCCATGGCCCCCAGAGAGCAGCCACATGAGGTGTACTGATTATCAGCGCTCAGGAGAGGATGTTGTACTCAACAGAGGACTTAAGTGCTTATTAGTGATTCAATAGCAGTAGATTGGCATTAGTGGTGGGTGGGTATTAAGTGCTTCTGACACCACGAGGGACCGTTCTCTCAGTAATGTGCCTCCCACCTGCTGGACAGTTTGCAGCTTTTTTCCCTGCAGGCACTTTTCTGTGAGGCTGCTGTGAGCCTGTGGTGACTCCAGCCCAATAGTGCTGGGAAAGTAATTGACAGAAGCAAATAAATCAACAAATTAGCGGCTCAGGGCGTTTATCCATTTTTCTCTCCTGCTTTTTAACCTCTGAACTCCAAGTAGTTTCTGGCTTTTAGCTGCTGTCATATTTTTTACTCACTGTGAGCTGATTTCTTACTGTGATATAAAATCGTGCACCTCCATGGAAACAACACAACCGTAGTTACAAGGAGGGAGAACTCAGAAATGTGTTTTGTGAAGTATGACTAAGTTAGAATTCCATAAATCACAACTTGCATTTAATTAGTTACTTTATTTAATTACGTAGAATTACAAAAACTTCTTCCCATACTTGTCTTGTATTTAAAACAGCCTGCAGTTCTGCCCAAAACTTCCTTCATTATCTGTGAAGTGACTTTTGTCAAAACTGAGCTGAGTGCATAATCTTTTATTTTTTATTTTTTTTACAGACTCCGATGAGATCAAATGGTTAATTTTTGGCAAATGTCTAAATGAGACTTGTTAGTTATTTCTCACGTTTACACTTTTGAAGCAGATGCTACTCCTTGTAAAATGTACAGGTGTGGAGAATTATAATTTGTTAATAAAAGCTATTTTGAGGTTTTATTTGTCAAAAATAACGACAATAAACTGGATTTGTGATGATAAATGAGTTGCTGGCTATTTCGCCTGAGCTATTAAATCGAATTAACTATTTAATCAGTCATGATAACTCATTATTCAGTTTGAGTATTTATTTTTTTTAAATATATGTCAAAATTCCAGCTTCTGATATGTGAATATTTTCTGATTTCTCTCCTCCTTTATGAACTCAACATCCTTGAATTGTGGACAAACAAGAGATGTGTCATCTTTGGCTTTGGGAAACCATGATCAACATTTTTCTTTCTTCTCTGACATTTTCAGCCCAAGCAACTAATCGATTAATAAGTAAAATAACCACCAGATCAGTCAACAGTGGAAATAATTGTTTGCTACAGCCCTAATGGAAAAGGCTTTTTTTTACCCTGAAAGAAACTTTACTTCTCATATCTCTGAGTCATTGCTTTATGAGTGAGTTCATGTTTGGTTGTTATTTTGTGCATACACTTGAGGACACACATGCACAGCGGTGATGTGATACATATTCATGCTGAAGGATTCGTGCTATTTCACCAGCGGATGGTGGTTACACATCCCGAAAAATAAAAATGAGTCAATAAAGGGAAGGGAAGAAAAGGACCGCTGACTAACAGACATGAACGTAAATAATGCAGGATTTAAAATATTTTTAAAAATTCATTCATGATGTCTGTCTGGCCTGAAGGATACATGCAGCGTGTTTGGGTTACTTTAAACGTAACATTTTTACCAGAAAATGCCGCAGGGCTTCTTCAAGACAATATTTAAGAAAAGGACAAACACGTGAAGATAATAAAGAGGTTTAATCCTCTGAACCCCAAGTGGTTTCTGGGTGTATTTTCATTTATTTTTCGCTCCTGTCACATTTTTACTCACGGCAATATAAAGTTCTAAGAGCACAACCATGTCTAGAAGTAGATAGAACTGAAAAAGTTATGACAGTTAAAATGCCATAAATCATATCAAAGACAAAACAAAAAAACAAAGCAAAAGTTTAATTTCTGGGATTTTTTTTTATTTATTCAAATACAATTTAAAGAAAAAAAAAAAGCAACAACCTGGAATCAAAAGTCCAACATTTTTCCAAATTTTAGCAGTACTGGAAGAAATTGTTGGCTTCACTTGTGTAGATATTTTACTAGTTAGAGTTTTAGTCTGTTCTCATATTTGGATTATAACGGTTTTGTGTAAAGACAGTCTGCAGTTCACTCGAAGAGTTCCTGAATTTTTTTATGTGACCGTTGGTGGCCTCTGTGTCACTAATGGCGTCCAGTTGCACTAAAGAATCTTTGGTTATTTACAGAATCTAATGAGAGCAAATGGTTTATTTTTTGTGTATTTTCAAACGAGACATGTCGGGAATAAAGTGATTAAATGAAATACGATGATGATTTTAACATCGGATTTGGTTCATTTTCTTAAAAAGAACTCATTCTTTCATCAGAAGGTTGAAAATACAACTATTCTTCTTGTTTCCACTGTTTCTGTCTCTGATGAATGCTGGTGATTTGTTGTATTTTCATTTTCTAGTTTATTTTTTTAAAGATACCATGATTTTCAAGCCTGTCGACAGGTTCGTATTTAGATTTCGAGTACTCACTAATGTGTATTTAAACGCTATTTCATGTTTTTATGCACTGATCTACATTTTGTTATGATAGTTAAACTGGTCGTTTCACTTTTGCACGAACTGAAGGTGATGTTCATTCCCCTTGGCTTTAGACTGTTGCAGCTGACCTCCAGTACATCTTGTGCTTCTATCCAGCCATTTTTTTTTAAACAGTGTGCTGCTTACTCTCATTCTGTCGCACTCTCAAGGGGAGATTCAGGGAACTGTGCATCGGCGTCTCTTAGAGGACAGAGCGGAGGAGCTGAAGGTCGGAGCTGTGCTGCTGCTCAAACAGGTAACACTCACTGCCCTCCACCATAAAGAATATCGCCCCTGCAGTGTCGTGCTCGAGCTTGACCTGAATATATTACCTTGCTCATGTGAACAGGTGGGCGTGTTCTCTCCCTCCCATCGTAACCATTACCTGAACGTGACTCCCAACAACTTGCTGAGGATCTACGCCCCCGATGGCGTCAGTCTGTCCTCCACTCAGCTCCCCCCGCTGGTCCTGGTGAGCCGCTATCAGCTGAGAATAGCACCATTGCATTCCAGCACATATTACGTCTCTCGTCCAGAAAAATGTTCTGTCAAGCTGTCATGTGTCCCTCTGAAACATTTTTATCCATATCCAGGAGCCGCTGCTGCTGTCACCCGCTCGGCGTCCCGGCGTCCTCCGGGGGCCGGTGTCTCGCATGCAGCTGGTGTTCGACGAAGAAGACGAGGAGGGAAGAGAGCCTGGAGGTCCGGCTGACACTCGCTCCAGCAGAGGCCCCCGGGAATGTGCCAGGGACCCAACACCACAGGAACCGGGCTGGGATGCAGGTGGGGCCCCGTGAATGTAATCAGAGTCGTAGTGAGGCCGGGGAGAGATGAATTCTGGTCACATCCTGAGTTTGCCAAGTGTCACGCTGCAGTATAATTTGGCTTCCCTGAATGAAACATAAACGCTGTCTGGTAATGTTGTGAGATATTAACATTTGGCTGTCCTCCCAAAGCCAGAGGAAGTGTAGCAAAACAAGGGCTGTGTAATAAAGAGGCTTCTGATTTGCACTGCAGATGCAAAAAAAACAGCGTTAACATTTTTGATTAACCTGTTGATTTCTTCTTATTATTCAGTTAGCACAAAATATAGATAGATAGATAGATGGATAGATAGATACATAGATAGATAGATAGATAGATAGAAATACCTTATTAATCCCCAAGGGGAAATTTTGTACCGCCCAGCACAAGGTGTCAGAGCCTTACGTTGTATTTTAAATCTTTCCTCTTTGTCTGACTGGCAGCAGTTTGGGAACCAGACGAGTCTGAGAGCTCGTGTTTGGTGTGCTCTGCCAGAATGCGTCTGGCTCACCTCCCCTTCGAACAGATTACCATCCGCCCTTGCCTGTTAAGGGCCAATCATTATCATTTATCTAATATGGGCACGTTCGGTTCAGTGGCTGTTCAGAGGTTTGCCTTTGACGTACTTTCGTAGACAACCAAGATGGCTGCTGCTCTGGAACTCAGTGCTACAAAACAACCACACTTTATTTGCTTTTGTCCGTCGCTCAGCACTACATCATGTTTTGTTCCTCTGATTGGTTGTAGGTCTATGCCATTGCAAACAGCAGCATTTTGACAGCTTGGAAATTAAAAATAAACTCATAGGTTGCAGACTAGTTTGTATTTTTCACATTTTCTAGCAATGTCAGGAGAGATCAGCAGCCAACTCGTAAATATTTATCTAATAATGATATTGTGGAAGCCAAGTCAACACTTGAAGATCCTGAGAAACTAAACCTGGGTTAGCTTAGCGATGTGCTGTGCCATGTTGCGTGAAGCAAAGCCTGAGACATGATTTTCAGCTTAACACTTGGAGAAATAATTTTCTTTCGTCGTTTATCTGGATAATTAAACTCGAACCTGCCGTCTCAGTGGTCAAAAAGCTTGTTGTAACTTTATCTTTTCTAAAAGTTGACTAGACAAGCTCCTTGTCCCATTTCACTAATTGCACACCCTCCATTCCTTTCCTCAACTCCTTTCCTCACGTCTTGGTCCCTCCCACCAGAGATTCCAGTGAAGGAGGCGAGAGGATGTGAGAGGAGAGAGGAGTCGAGGCAACAGGTTTTTAACAAAATGAGACATCTTCACCTCGGAGTGTCAGCATAAAGCGACGTCAATTAAATATGACATGTGGCACAGCAGAACCACCAGTCCGTCGTCTTCTAATTACCTGCCACTGTGTTTTATGATCTCTGTCAGATGAGCAGGACAGTGTTCATGATGAGTTACAGCATATATTTTCACTTACCATTTAAGTCACAAGGCGGTAGAATGTGACGAGAATGTACAGATGTCATTTAAATGTTTTGCTTAACACGCACACATGCAGTGTTGGGTATAAAAAAAGACATGGCGCACGAAATAGAACTATACAAATAGAGAGTGACATATTAATATTGAATATCATACACACACATTTGTCTGTCTGGCTGCCCACACGGTTTGTGTATTCCAGCCACGTGTCGCCTCTTATATGTCACGGATGCGGAAAAGACTTAATCGAAGACACAGCGAGGATACAGACGCAGCTCCTCCGTCCTCTTTGCTCAATATGCATTTTAGGAAATGAGATGTCCTTTGTTATGATGCACCAAGATCGATTTTCATGTCACAAGACGGAGGACGGAGGAGTCAAGGAGGCTGAAATTAGTAACGTGAGATGAGCCTAAAGATTGTTTTCTGCTCACAGAACTGAGCGCTGATTGGCTCCTACGGATATAAAACACAAAAACAAATGGAGCAAGTTTAGATCCAGAATTTGCAGCAACCAATCATGTGTGTTGGTTTCATTTGAACAATGAGCTGCAGGTCTCCTCCCTCTGGACATTCTGAGTGTGGCTCAGTGGCGCAAAAATTATATTTTGAGAGGAAACGAAAGGACTCGGTGCTGAATTAAAAACACATTAAGGCATTGTTTTGTCTGTTCGTACTGTTATTGTGTCGCTGTAAAAATAAATCTTTATGTGGAGGGAACAGATGCCCATGTTGTAAATATTCAAAGGACAAATCCCCTGTGTGTCCCCCTGAAATCTACACTTACAACCACAACAGTGAAATGGCTCTAACGTCTGACCTTAACATTGTTCCATCAGCCAGACGGATCCGGGGCAAATATCGCATGAAGTTTCGTACAAACGTTCAGCATCCCCACATGATGATTTCAAATCTAACACCAGACCAGGATTACCATCAGAAATGTGAAAACTCTGCACGCTAGACTGAATACCCATAATGTGGAGCAATAATGGCGACTGAGGCTCCGGAGGTCGACGTTCACCCGCAGCTCGCAGAGTTGGCAGTTTGATCTCCAGCTCTTCCTGTCCACACGTTAAAGCTTCCAACAGTCAGAGCCGCGATTTGCATGCCACCGCTGTGTGGAAATGAGAGATAAAAACCGAACAAAAGTGCTACACGCAGTCCATTTACTCGATAAAACTGTTTTGATTTGGCTAACAACAAGACCTTTAATGTGACACCACCCTCCGGCCACACTTAACATTTTACCGCTCGGAGCACAGTCTAACAACGGGGAAAAGGCCTCACTTTGTTTTTCATCCTCCAACGGTTTTGTTCTTTATGTGTCGTGAGAATTATGGCTTGTTTTGTTTACAAAATCTGGTTAAAGCAAAAAGCATGTCATAGATGAGTCTTTCAAGGACTGTGGGAAAATTGAAAATGGGATTATTCTGTATTTTTTTACACTTTCTGGCTCTGAAAAGTTCTGTAACCTTATTGATTTTTTCTGTTTACCAAAGATGAAATGCCTTTAATTTAAAAAGTTTTGTGGCTCAAAGGGTTAACACTAAAAGAACGGCACATAATATTGAACTTCATTTTCAAATAATCTGGAGTTCAATTTTCCCATTAAATAATTCATTGATTCCAAGAAGTGTTGATAAATAATTAACTGACGCTTCCTCAAGGCCCAAGATGACGTCATCAGATGTCCTATTTTTTCTTTTTTCCAAACCAGTTGTGTGAATTAATTAATCAATTATTCAGACACTGTTTTAATGTCCTGTGTTGTGCAGATGACGACCTGGATGAACTACTGGGAGAGTTACCTGAGGACACCTACAGCCTTTGATGGACTGACTCTCCACTGGCTGATTGAGCTGAAACACTGTTTTCCTGACGTCACCTCTTCAAAAGAAAAAAACCCTTCTGACGACTGAAGAACTGGTGAAAATACGCATTACATGTGTTGAAAAGTTCTAATTTGTTGTTACTGTGCAACACGGATGGTTGTTGTGTTGCTGGAAACCAACATGTGCTTATTAATTAATCAGCTCCACATCCCATGTTTTTGTAAGGACTTTAGTTGGGACTGTTTGTGTATTAAGGATGGTCCTCTCACTTTTCCATTCATTCTTATCCATTGTCGTGCCTGCTTCAGTGTCCTTGAAATGGAAAACTACTCTAGACAACATTGATTTGCTAATTATGTTAAATGAAAGCAACGTGAGGCTGCTTTGTCTGCTGTGTTTTTCTGTTTTTGTCCTCGACCTCCATTTTCAGCAGTGACTTTGTCCCCAAGCCTCGACGTGGGGGAGCATAAACTGACCCTATTTGTTTACCGTACATTAAGAGGTGTATCGGAGGTTTTCGGGCAGGGATTTTGGCGAAGGTATTCTCACAGTAAACACGTGGGCTCCCTCACCAAGCAGTGTTTACCCAGCTCTATCTGCATCAGGGTGGAGTCGCACTGTGACTAACAGGCTCTTATGGAGGCTTTCCCAGCGGCATCTCATCCCCAGATCCAGACTCCTCCAGTAGCCCTGCCTCACTGTAACGGATTCAGGTTAATCCTCAGCCTCTTTGTCATTTTGAGCATGATGCAGCTGCTCTAGAGCGCCCGGTTTTATGTTCAGAGGAGAGAGAATGGGGATGATGAAATGGATTGTGTTTACAGTCTCTGTTTTGAGCCGCGCAGCTTAAATAAGTACAATTTACAGTGCAATCTGTAAATATTGGGACAGTTACACGCCTTGTGTTGTTTGGGCTCTCGGCTTCCGCACATTGGAGCCGAAATGAACCAGTAAATGAGAGTTTAAAGTGCTGACTCTCGGCGTCAGTGTAAGGGTGATTACATGGTAGCCCTGTTATTGCCCTCATGCTTCAGTGGCAGTGTTTCCAGAAACGGTGTCCTGCTACTATATACTGCAGACAAACCAAAAGTCATTTTGACAGTGTGTTCAGTGGATCGTCCCAAATAACCAGGGGACTCTTTCGAAAGTGTTACTTTGCTGCTAAAGTTTTTAGATGGGTATCTCAAATCCTTGCCAAATGAACAAAGTTATCTCCGTGACTAGATATAATTAAACCCAAAGATATCCATACCAGATTTTGATTTATAGGACATTTTTGTTAGACTAAAATGTTTCTTCTGGCTGGAAATGACATGAACAGGCAACGAAGAATACAGAATAATATGTTATGGATGATGATGGTTATCAGTTTTAACTATTTCTGCCTAATTTTTTTTATCTTTGACTAAAAATGTCACACCTCAAGTTATTCATATCTCCTGAAATGGTCGCAAACTTCTGGGTAAATGCAGCCTCGATGCCATATCAAATGATAGCAGCTAATGATTCTAGCATTTTTCTAGTGCATTCTAACACACTATAACCTGAGAACAGCTGTGGCAGTAGTTTCAGCTACTAGTCAATCACAAGTCATGGATAAAACCAAAGAGCTGAGTGAGCTGCTATTAGGTTGAACATTGTGGCTGCTCACGAAACATTTAAAGGCTATGAAGCAATAGCTTGGTGTTGCAGTGCAAAGCTTAATCAAAAAGTACAAGGAGTTCTACACTGTAAAAAATCTCGAAGGGCGTAGTAGGAAACCAAAAGTGACTTCCACACTCAGTAAGAATGGTCGAGGCGAAGCAAAATCCAAGGTCAGCACCAAGACTAATGAATGTGAGCAGTTCAGGTAGCAACATCTTAGAGGCCGACCAAGGAGGACTCCACTTCTCTAAGACAGACAAAAGCATAGCGGGACAAAAAAAAGAACATTTTAGTCATCACTCCTGTTGTTGGACGAGATGAAAATAGAGTTGTTTGGACACAAAGGAAGGAACACCATCCTCATGGTCAAACACTGTGGTGGGAACGTAATGCTTTGGAGGCATTTTTCAGCCAGTAGACCCGGCAGCCTTGCTCAAGTAAAAGACATAATGAGAAATGAGGATGACATTATGATTCTGGAGGAAAACATCAGACACTTTGCAGAAAAACCTGTCCTTGGTCAGCACTGAAGCCTCCAACAAGACAGTGATGTGAAACATAAAGCCAAAGTGGTCAAGAAACGGTCAGCAGAGAACATTATGAACATCCAATACAAGGTCTTGCTGATGTTTGATACTTATTCACGTGTCTTTCAGCCAGAAGAAACCTGTTGGTGAAATAGCAGGTTCACTAGAAATCAAAACGTCTCATCACGTTGTTTGTCTTTATAGTTTATATTTAAATTGCAGGCTGTCATTGTGCTGCTTCTCTAATAATTTGGGGAATAAAGAGGGTGTCTGTGTTTCCCAAGTATCGACGTGAACACCTGAAAACGCTCAAAGTCGACACTTGATCCTAATGGCAATTGATTTATGTCAAATCTAAAGTGCTGTAGTCCACGGACAAAACAACAAGTCCCGAAGAGGTGCATTTTATACACAGTGGATGAGTTGTTTCCTAAACTATGGTTTGGGGTTCTACCAGAGGTCAAAAGATGAGTCAGATGGGGTCACTCTGTTAGTGTTTCCTGACTTTTTTTTTTTTTTGGCTTGTGGCCTCTTAAAATAAATCTTTTCCTCTTCCAGCCCCATGTCACAGGTTGCATATGGCATTAGATCATCTACTCTTTTGGTTTTATTTAAATATTTTTACAGATTTACAGGCAAAACTATCCAGTAATTGACAAAAAAAGAGAGAAATAATTTAGAGAACAGATTCTTTTTGCAGCAGAAGTGTTTTTCTGCTTTTGTTATACTGCTATATATTTTGCAAGCTTTCATATTTATAAAAACAACTTTATTTGTATAGCACTGTTCCTCCAGCAAATGCAACTCAAAGTGCTTTACATAAAAATAGAATAAAATAAGAATGATAATAAACTTTAAGAGTAATAAATAAGTTAATGTGAAATTGCATAAAAACTGCAGGAATGCAGCCTAAAAAGCTGAGTTTTAAGGTTACATTTAGAGCTCTGATCACCACTGGATGGCTTTTCCAGAGGTGAGGGCTGCTGACACAATTCATACGTCTTTTTTGAGGTCCTGACACAAATTTTGGCCACAGCTACACTACAATAATAAAGAAAAATCTGTTTGTCTGGCACCAAATTCAGTGATTTTTTATTTTTTGCAAAAGCTTGAAAACTGTTGCTTCTTGAAAAAAAAAAAATCAAACAACCCAGAGAGTCTCATAACCAGAAATTACAGGTCACAATACAAAAAAAAGTGAAGCTCCACAGCTGGAGATGCAGCCCATCTGTTGTGTATCATATATATAGTCAGTGTTTAATACCAGCAGGGGGTAGCATTTTACACCCTGCCTCGCAGTTTAGGTCCTGGTGGACTTCATTACTCAAGTTCATGAGCTTATGAGAGCGCGCAGACATCCAGAACCCAGTTAACAGTCCTGATGATAAAACTCCTAATTGGAAGGGAACCTAATTTGACCAGAACCAGGCACTTTGAAACTGTGTGTGTTTATGTGTGTCTGCAGAAGGGGGCTGCTCCTTCCCTAATCTGCACATCTACCAATTAAGACCTTCACAAAAGGGGGGCTTGGTTCCGGCGAGTCTGCAGCTATTTCTCTCACACTAGAATAATTTGCCCTTCTACTCCAATTGCCTCTCGCCAGAGGTAATAATCAGCTGTGCCCACTCTCGCCAACTTTGGTACTTACGCAGCCTTATTATCTCCTGGTTAGAGCTTATTATTTTCATAATCCATTAAGATCGTCTGAGAGTGTAATTACTCTTCCGGTCTCGTCATGTAGCCTGTGTAGTTCAAATGGTGCCTGGTGACCTCCCAAAAAAAACCTTTAGAAAGATTTTTTTAAAGTGGTATCAGTGGTTTGGGGAGACTTTTTTTTTTATCTCTTATGTAAAGCAGTGTTAACTTGCTGAGATCAGGTTGAAAAATCCATCCAATACGCATCGTTTTTAGCAAGTTGTATCTGTAATGAATAGTTGATAGTAATAATAATGATAGAACCTAAAATACATAAGTCACATTGCTTCAATTTTCACTGATTGTTATTTACACCAATAACAGGACCACTCAAATGCATGCACACGAGTGTGGTGTTGAATTAAAAACTCAGTCCAGATGTGAAAATGTAACCATGGCGTTCATAAAACAAGAATAACAAACCACACAAACACTGGCTGATAAAACAGTCTCACCTCAAGGTCAATTTAACAGCTGGTCCAAAGACTTTAATTATACAGGGCCCATAAAAAAAGTATTCACTTTGCCTTTTTATTGCTGTTCAACATTGAATCATTGTCAATTTAATTTGGCCTTTTTTGACAAATGACATAAAAAAGATGCTTTCATGCCAAAATGAAAACACATTTCTACAAAGTCATGTCAATTAATTAAAAATATGAAATCTAAAAACAGTGACTGCAAAAAGTGACACACAAATTCCACACAGGCGCAGCTAGTTGGTGCTAAAGTTGCACAAGAGATCATCTGAGTACAGTGAATGTGTCTCAGTGACTTTTGTATAAAAACACCTGCATCTGGAAGGTCCAGCCACTGGTGAATCAGTACGCCATAACTACATCATAAAGACAAAGAACACTCCAAGCAACTCTGTGAAAAGCATAAGGATACAAGAACATTTCCAAGTCACTGAATGTCTCTTGGAGTCCAGTTAAATCCATCAGTAAGAAATGGAAGGAATATGGTGCATGTAAATCTGAATAGAGCTCGTCATCTTCAAAAACTGTGTGACTAAGCAAGAAAGAGTGAAGTGAGGGAGGAAACCAAGACACCTATGACTTCTCTGAGGGAGTTACAGGCTTCAGCAATTGAGACGGGAGAGATTGTGCAGACAACTGTTGCCTGTTATCACCAGTCAAAGCAGTTAATTTTGAATAAAAGTCACATTAAATCTCATTTAGAGTTCACCACAAGGCATGTGGGAGACTCTGAAGTCAACTGGAAGAAGGTTGTTTAGCCTGATGAGACCAAAAATGAGCTTTTTGGCCATCGGACTAGTTGCTATGTTTTGCAAACGCCATCCTCACCCTGAGGCATGTTGGTGGCAGCATCATGGTGTGGGGATGCTTTTGGGAGCAGGTCCCTGAAGGCTTGGAAAGGTAGAGGGTGAAATTAATAAAGCAAAGAATAGGCACATTAAATTGACAGTAATTCAATATTGAAAAGCAATGACAGGAGTGAATACTTTTTATCAGCGCTGTATTACATAGTCTTTGCCAGTTGTCTTGGAATTAAA